AGTAAAAACCAGCAGGGTTCTTCGGGGGAGCAGTAAAAGTATAGCTGGGGACATGAACAGGGACTAGGTCATTGAGGGCCTTCCATACTACACTAAAGAGCTAAAACTTTACCCTGAAAGCCATAAAGAACTATGAAAAATTTTCAGCAGGGAAATCACATTATCAGATGTGGATGTGAAAAAGATTTCTACGGTAGCTGTGTACTATACAAGTGAAAAGGGAGGAAAAGTGAAGGCATAGAAAGTTTCATAGCCTACCTCAGTGATCTAGGACTGACAAGATCCTGAACTGGCAGGGTCAGCGTGAACAGGGAGAAGGATAATTTTTCTTTAAAGATTTTATTTACTTAATTTAATTTATTTATTTGACAGAGAGAGAGCACAAGCAGAGAGAACGACAGACAGGGGGAGAATGTGGAGCTCAATCCCAGGACCCTGGGATCATGACCTGAGCCAAAGGCAGCTGCTTAACCGACGAGCCTCAGGCACCCGAAGAAAGGGATAATTAATATTAAGAATGTACAGGACTTGGTAAAAGTAGATGTGGTAGAAAGGGCGCTAAGAGAGAATTTAGGATGACTCTTGGTTATTCAGTTTAGACAGGGGGTACACAGTGCTGCCATGTTTGGAGAAATGGTAGAAGCAAGAGTGAACTGAATTTACATACAGGTACAAAGTTTAGACTCAGATACAGGGACCAGAGGAAAGGATGGCTGTGTCGGCTGAGAGCTGAGAAACGGAAAGAGGTTTCACTTAATGGTCTCTACTTTTACAGTGAAATAAAAAGCGAGATCATCTGCTAAGACTAAGGAGAGAAATGGTGGGGAGAGGAAGGTGAGAAAGGGAGGTAAAAGTTTGGGACAGTCCTGAGAGGAAGAGGGAGCCCCGAGGATTCAGGTGATGTTAGCAGACACACAGGTGGAGGGTTGTCTCCAGCAGCACTCAGCAGCCCGGATGTAAGGACAGAGAAGTCAGGCGGCTGACCTGACCCAGGACTGGAGTACTACAGAAGAATGAGAGGAAAGAGAATTGAGGGTAACACCAAGGGGGTAATCCAAGCAGGGGACGTGCACTGAGGCTGGTATGAGGAAGACATGCTTCCAGGGAGCTGGAAGATTGGTGGGAAATGGAGTGAGGTCACCGAACAAGAAAGAGGACATCAAGTGGTCAAAGTGTAGACTCACTGGGAACGAGCAGACTGCTGGAAGGAAGGACAGCTATGGTCATGTACAGGATGTTGCAAGAGCCTGGCTCACTGCTCTGCACCCAGGAAATGCTCACCAGACTTACTGACTGCTAGGCAAGCTGCAAGGTCTTCTACACATACCAGTTACATAAACTAGCATTTGGAGAGAAATTTCCAAAACAAATCTTCATGCACTGTGTTGATTTCAATTTAGTGCAGACTCTGAAATGACACCTACAGTAATGCTTCCAGGGGTGCCAGGGTGCCTCAGTCGGTTGAACGTCTGACTCTTGGCTTCGGCTAATGTCATTAACTCGGGGTCCTCAGATCGAGCCCTGTGACAGGCTCCGCACTCAGCGTGGAGTCTCTTTGTTCCTCTCTCTCTCTGCTCCTCCCCTACTCTCTTTCTCTTTCTCTCTCATAAATAAAATCTTTTTTAAAAAATATGTCCAACAATAAGTCCCTCGATGTGCTACTTACCTATCACTCTATCATATGAGTTCATCAGGCGAGCTCAAAACATTTTTTTTTTCAAGATTTTATTTATTTATTTAAGAAAGAGAGAGAGAGAGAGAACATGAACCTCATGAGCCAGGGGAGCGGTAGAGGGAGAGGGAGAAGCAGGCTTCCCGCTGAGCAGGGAGCCCAGTGCAGCGCTCAACTGCAGGACCCTGAGATCATGACCTGCACCGAAAGCAGGCGTTTATCCAACTGAGCCCCACAGGTGCCCCATGCTCAGAATATTTTTTTAAAAAGAAGAATCATGCTTAGTATTTCAGTTCCTGCTTTTTGTCCCAGGGTACTTCTATGAATCAACCAATGATGTCTTTTAAAGTGCAGGCTCACCATCTTCTACTGGGAAAGAGTCCTATTTGTTGCTCCCCTTCCTTAGGCCAGCAATACCCCCCCAAGAATATAATCTGGGAATTAGGAAGGGACCCACAAAAGCAGGACAATGGCCATAACAAAGCTACCAGGTATCCAGGAGAAAATCATCGAATATGTGACTAAACTGAATATTACTTCCTTGGTTTTGGGGTTTTTTTGGTTAACTCAGGGTGTCCTCTTTACAATTATAATTACATTAAAATACATACTATCCTCAAAGAGTACAAAGCACTTAGCAGATTTCTATTAAGTAAATTCACCTTAAATTTTTTTTAATTAATTAATTTAGTTGTGAGAAAGAGAGAGAGCAGGGAGTGGGCAGGAGCAGAGGGAGAAGGAAAGAATCCAAGCAGCCTCCACACTGATCACAGAGCCCGACTCGCTGAGCACAGAGCTGGACTCGGAACTCTAACCTCACGACCCGGAGATCATGACCTGAGCTGAAACCAAGAGTTGGACACTTAACTGACTGTGCCACCCGGGCGCTCTGTAAATTCACCTTTATATAGCATCAATGTGAAATTCTCTCCTCCCAGCCAGGGCCACTGCAATGTGGGCCACTATCACTCTCATGCAGGCTCTGACAGGTTAAGTCTCCTAACTGGTCCTCTACACTACTCCCATCCACTTTCCACCTGCCAAAGTAATTTATCTAAAATGCAGAACTCCTCCTTTGATACCTCTCCTCACTTAAAATCTTTCAGTATCTCTATCAGGGAAAAACCCAAACTCCTGATACATGAGTCTTTTGTGACAGGCTTCCCACTTGCTGTACTGGTCTCATTCCTCCCCACCTCCCTACAGCTCAGGTGCTGTTCTCTCTTGTCTGTAGGCCGCCTGCCTACAATGTCTTTCCCCTGTTCTTTGCCCCAGTTCCTCCCTGTACCAACCTCCACTCCTGAAACTCTTTCTTTGCAAGTTACCAGTTTAATCCAGGATCAAACCAAGGCTCACGCATTGCGTGCGGAGTTCATATTCCCCTTCACCTTTCAGGATTTAATTCTGGAAATCACTTCCTCTGGGAATGCCTCTCTGACTACCCCGCCTCGTTTGGATTCCATTACCCCTTCTACGTGCTCTCATACCACCACTATTATGGTATCATTATACTAGTTTGTAATTATCTATTTGTCATCTCTCCTAGTCAACAATAAGCTCCACGAGGACCTTCTATTCTCCAGGCCCATATTGTCAGGCTCGCAGTAGATACTCAGTAAGTGTTGGCTGGCGGAATGAGAGCTATGAACAGGAAACATGACTGTTATGGCCTGAATTGGGTCCCCCGCAGATTCATGTGTTGAAGCCCTCACCAGCAATTTGATTGTATTTGGAGATAAGGCCTTTAATGAAGTAATTAAAGTTAAATGAGATCATAAGGATCGGGCTCTAATCCAATAGGTCTGGTGTCCTTACACAAAGACGAGAGACACTGCAATTAAGCACACGGGGAGGAAAGGCCATGTGAGGACAGAGAGTGAAGGCAGCAGTGCTATGCTAGCCAAGAAGACAGGCTTCACCAGAAACCAACCCTGCTGGCATCTTAATCTTGGACTTCCAGCCTTTACAACTGTGAGACAATAAATTACTATTGTTTAAGTCATCCAGTCTGTGATGACTCTGTGATGGCAGTCTGAGCGGACAAACACAATGACCAAAATCTCTGTGCCCACAGTTACTGTGGATGATGGAATGCAAAACAAAACCCGCATCCCTGCTAGAACAAAGATAAATACAGAAAAGTTCTTCCACCTACTTCTGGAAAAGTGAACTCCACATTCCACAGAAACCATGACAGAAAGTGTCATTCTGATGGTTGTAACACATAAGAAAGCCCAATTGTATCTTCCAGACCACGAGCAGTAAACTGTTAGCATCAATCACCATCTGGGCTTACCCACTCAGAAGGCAGAGAAAGTGGTCAGAGATAACATTAAGAGTGTAGAGTACACATCAAAAGGAAATCTTTCACAGAGCCTAGAATTATCAAGACAGATTCACCTTCCCAGCTTCTGCTAAGACTGCTGCTAACGTCTCTGTTTCACCATCCCCCTCCAGCCTGTGAAGATGATGGCAGAGGCCATGTTGTTGGTGGGAGGTGGCAGGGTGTCCGATCACTAACGATACCAGGTATAGCATTATGCTTCTAGCACACTCTTAATAATCGCTGACACATGGATCTTCATGGACAACTGACCGACCTTCAAAGCATTATCATTCAATTCTCAAACAGATTGGTCCTTAGGCTCTTTCTCAAACATTCTTTCTCATGCTGACCTTTTACGGTTACCGCCTTTCACACCTGGAAAATGATTCAACCAATGAGCTTGCTACTTTTCCCTCAGAGCTCTGACTCATCAGCAGGCCAAGATTTTCTTGATAAAAGCACATTTTAGAATTTAAATAAAATCATCAGGGTTCACATTATTTCGATTTCCATGTTAAAAAACGTGGAAAACTGAGTATTTGAGCAAATTCTATGCACACCTTGCTCTTGCTGTAGTACCCAAAAGAGAACAGAGATCCACTGAATAATTCTTTCCAAAGGCTTACTTACAATGTTATTGTTTGAAATTTGTTTTGGTGCTGAATAACAATCAAAATATTCCCAAAGCCTGAACTTCTAAAAAAAACCAGGTTCAAAGCAAGTGAAGCAGGTGTTAGATGCTTTTCAAAATCTTGATCATACTTAGGACCCAACAATCAGCTGCTATTATTTTCAAGGTATTATTGAATCTGAAAAAAACATTTTTTTTTTTATTGAATCTAACACAAGGTGCTGAAAAAGCTAAAATCATTAGAGGATTTTATTTGTACACTTGTTTTTCAAATAAAAATTAGACCGAAACTAGGAACACAAACACGACTGGATGCTACGTATAAATCCACACACGCACACAGGGGTTTTACTCTTGACAGCATCATTTACCTTCTGCCCTTCTCACAAAGCTTCTCGATTTCAGCTTTCAGATCCTGCTCCTTCTGCAAAAACTCCTTCTTTTCTTTCTCTATCTTCTTCTTTGTTTCTTCTCTCTTTATTGTTACATCCTGGATAGCTTTTAGTATCTCCTGAGTCCCCCATAATTACAGTCACACACAAATAAAGAAGGAAATGAATTAGTTCTTTTGGTCTGAAGGTTATTTTCAACTAACACAAATTAATACATGGGCTCTAGTAAATTCAAGCTGAATTGAAGGAATTGGGTTGATGCGTAGCTCTGAAAGCCAGTATTTAGATGTAAGAGAGAAAGTTACAATAAAGCAGATTTCAATTCAGCAGGAGCAAAAATTTCTAACAGTCACAACTGTTCAAAATGGAATTTACTGCCTTGAGAAGCAATAACCCCTCCATTACCCATGTTCAGATAAAGGCCAAATGAACACCTACTAAGAATGCTGAGAAAGGCATTCTTATACGGGGTGGGAATTCATTATGTCCTATAAAAATGGTCCTGTTTTGTTTTGTTAAGGTTCTGCTTTCTTATGTGTGAGGAGTTTTTTGGTTCCTCTTATACTTTAACAAAAATATATGTCTTTGCAGTAAGAAGTGGAATAGTAAAAAAGTGATAGCTAAGTCACTCCTTATTCCATGCCAATTTCACCCTTAATTAATATGTTCACTATTTCATAGAACTGCTTTCACATCTTTATTCTCACACAAACACACATATACTTAAATATGTAGTTCTTTGCTTTTGTGTTTCTTCCAAATGAGATGATTTTTTTTTTTTTAAGATTTTTATTTATTTACTTGTCAGAGAAAGAGACAGAGAGAGAACACAAGCAGGAGGAGCGGCAGGCAAAGGGAGTAGCAGACTCCCCATGCAGGACTTGATCCCAAGACCCCAGGACCACAATCTAAGCCAAAGGCAGACGATTAACCAACTGAGCCACCCAGGCTCACTCAATCATGAGATGATTTTATACACATTATTTTGCATCCTGCTTTTTTTCACTTGATGTGAGCATACTGTCAATACAGATTTAACTGGGGGCACTTGCGTGGCTCAGTTGGTTAAACATGAGATTGGTTTTGGCTCGGGTCATGATCTCAGGGCTGCAGGATCGAGCCCCGTCAGGCTCCATGCTCAGTGTGGATGTGCTTGGGATTCTCTCCCTTCTCTCTCTACCACTCCCCCACTCAAGTGTACTCTCTTTTTCTCAAATAAATAAATAAATCTTAAAAAGTAAAGTAAAATAAATATATAGATTTAACTTAAAAATAGCAGTATATGACATAACATGTATATGTATATATATCCAATTTATCTAACCATTCTATGTAAGGAGTCCGTCAAGTTGACTCCAGTTTTCTCTAACTACACAAAATACTGCAATAAATACACTGTGTATCTACATTTTCATATAAAAACTTTTATTTCTGTAGAAAAGACTTAATGAAATGATTGCTAGGTCATTGTATATTTTAAGTCTTAACTGACAATTCTTAGTAACTTTTGCAAAAATGCTGTAATAATTCTATACAAATGTCTGAAAAGGGTTCATTTTTCCTCATTCTTGATAACCTATTTCATTTTTGCCAACCTTCTGAGGGGAGAGAGAGGAATGGTATCTAATCATTTTAAGAAACATTCTCCTAACTCCCATTCTCTACTGTTTGTGCAGTCGGCCTCCTCCAACTAAAATAAGCATTCAGTGTAGAGACTATGTTCCCTTTACTGCTAAATTTGCAGAGACTGGATCAGGAACTCTGAAAATATTTGCTAAATGAATGAATGAATGAATTCCAGTGAGGCTGAGGCTGAGCTTTTTATATATTATCCACTTGCTTTTCTTCTTCTGTATACTACAATTTATAATTGTTTTAAAGATTTTATTTATGTATTTGAGAGAGAGAGAGAGAGTGCGCACAAGCGCATGAGCAGAGAGCCCAACTCAGGGCTTGATCCCAGGACCCTGAGATCTTGACCTGAGCTGAAGGCAGATGCTTGACTGGCTAGGCCACCAAGGTGCCCACCATTAATAACTGTTGTAGGCAAAATAATTAACACCTTACTCCAAAATATGTCCACGTTCTAATCTAACCTAATCCCTGGGATCTGTGACTATGTTTCTTTCCACGGGAAAAGAGACTGTGCAGATCTGACTAAGGTAAAGACCCGCATGCAGGGAGACAGTCCTGGATCATCTGGGTGGGCATAATATAATCACACAGGTCTTTCAAGGTGGAGAACCTTTCTCAATTGTGATCTGAGGAAGTTGTGACTGGGGAGGAGTGGTCAGGCATGCAAATTTGCTGAACCTGAAGATGGAGAAGGGGTCCACAAGTCAAGGAATACAAGCAGCCTCTAGAAGCTGGAAATGTAGGGAGAGGTATTCTCCCCCAGAATCCCCAGAAAGTGATGCAACCCTGCCAATACTTGGATGTTAGCCCAGTGACTTGTTGGACTTCTGACCTATAGGACTGTGAGATAATAAATTTGTGTTGTGTTCAGGTGGCAAATTGATGGTAATTTGTTACAGGAAAAACAGGAAACTATACAATAACCCTTCCTGAGCTTTTTCTAGAGTACTTGACTTCTACCATGAACTTGTAGGAGACTCAGAACACAGATATGGATATTAAACCCTTTATCAGATGTGCTACAAATACTTTCCCAATCTACCACTGATCTTCTGATGTTTTTTGTATCATCTGCCATATCAGAAGTTTTAAAGTATACATAATTAAATCAATTCATTTTTCTATGGCTTCTGGGTTTTTTACCCGGCTTAAAGTGACCTCTTGCAAGCCAAGGTTTTATAAACATTCTCCTAAATTTCCTTCTAATTTACACTTTTTCTAGTTTTCATAAGTAGATTTTTAAATCTATTAGAATTATGTTTTGGGTTTTTTTTTTTTTAAGATTTTATTTATTTATTTGACAGATAGAGACAGTGAGAGAGGGAACACAAGCAGGGGGAGGTGGAGAGGGAGAAGCAGGCTTTCCGCTGAGCAGGGAGCCTGACGTGGGGCTCGATCCCAGGACTCTGAGATCATGGACCTGAGCTGAAGGCAGGCGCTTACAACTGAGCTACCAGGTGCCCCTAGAATTATGTTTTTTAATATAATGTAAGAGTCTAATTACATGGTTTTCCAGGTAACAAATGTCAACAAAATATATTAATTAACTTTTGTCTCTAAACTAAAATAGAAGTGAGAGTTTGGGGGCTCCTGGGTGGTTCAGTCAGCTGAGTGTCTAACTCTTGGTTTCAGCTCTGGTCACGACCTCAGAGTCATAGGATCAAGTGTCTCGTTGGGCTCTGCGCTCAATGGGGAGTCTGCCTGAGATTCTCTCCCTATGCCCCTCCAATGGCTCAAGGACATGCACGCTCTCTCTCTCAAATAAATAAAATCAAAACAAAAAACTGAGATTTTGAACAAGATACCCTCAAAGCTTCCTTTTATCCTTAAAATTCTAACACAACCATTAAAAAGATAAACATTGCTCTTCCACCAATTCAGAAACAAAATTACAGCCTGATTAGGGAGTGTAGCCAAACTTATTGAGATTTAACATAAGCAGGGTACCTGGTGATTCTTCATTTCTTCTTCTCTCCTTTGCTGGAGCTGCTTTAATTGCACTTGGAGCTGATTCTCCACTTGTCTCTGCTTGTCCAGGACCTCCTGGTAACGCTCCTTCAACAGTGTTCTCTCTGTCATCATTTTGTCCTATGTGTAACAAGAGAAGAAAAGTTTAATTCCCAAGTTTAATTGCAAAAAACACCAACTGCCTGTTCGAGGCACTGTGCAGAGCTCTAGGCTGCAGGGTCCAGTATTCTAACTACTAGCCATGAGTAGCTATATAAATGTCAGTTAATTAAAGTAAGAACATTTTAAAATACAGCCCCTCAGTCACCTAGCCACATTTCCAAGTACTCATTACTTAGTCCCAAGAACAAATGGCTACCACACTGGACAACACAGATAGAAGACATTTCCATCACGGCAGGAAACCCTGTTGCACAGCACGGCTCGGGGGAAGGGGGTGGCAAGGAATGGCCTGTGGGCCAAATCCAGCCATTGTCTGAATTTTTTTCTTAAGATTTATTTATTCATTTCAGGGAGGCGGGGAAGAGAGAGCACGCGAACTTGCGTGCACAAGCAGGTGGAGGGGCCGAGGGAAAGGAAGAAAAGCAGACTCCGTGCTGAGCTCGGATCCCACAACCCTGAGATCATGACCAGAGCCAAAATCAAGAGTTGGAAGCTCAAGCAACTGAGCTACCCAGTGCCCCCATAAATAAATTTTATAGGAAAATAGACATTCCCAATGGATTATGGGCTGCTTTTATCCTACAATGAATGGAATGGTTGCAACAGAACCCACAGAGCCCCAAAGCCTAAGACATTTACCCTCTGACCTTTTACAGAAAAAATTTGCCAATCACTGCTCTAGGGAATAAGAAGAAGGAAGCATTTTATCAGAACAAGAAGAAATGAGTAGGTAAAAACAAAAAAACAAAAAAAAGATCACCTATTCAAAACCGCATCCAGAAAAGAGGATTCCTTACTGGCCATTAGCGCTGAAAATGGACAGATCCACTAAAGAGGTCTGGGGAACATGATATTCAGACTGGACAAATCAGCAAGCTCTCATACATGACCACAAGAGTAGAAGAAAGGTTTCTGAGGATCACAGTTCAGCTCTGCCTCCCCATATCCGTAAATCAAGAAAAGTGATAGTTATGTTTCAAAGGGATGCTAAGAGACGGTCAATTTAAAACACACTGAGTATAAGGCAGCCCATGTCAAATTTAAACAAAGAGCATTCAACTGAACTTATTCATTAAAAGATTAACTATTTTCAAAGAAAAAACAGGTTTTAGAGGTGAACAAAGGAAAACTTACTATATTATGATAATAAAAACAAAGTTTCAAGATAGGACTTTAGCGGAGCACCTGGGTAATGCAGTCGGTTAAGTGTCCGACTCTTGGTTTCAGCTCAGGTCACGGTCTCAGGGTTGTGAGATCCAGCCCTGCATAGGGCTCTGTTCTCAGCACAGAGCCTGCTTGGGATTCTCTCTCCCTCTCACTCTGCCCCTCCTCCTTGTGCTCCCTATCTAAAATAGATAAATAAATCTTTAAAAAAAAAAAAAAGGGATTTTAGCTCTGCAATAAACTAGTCCTTAGTCCAGGTGCTGAAATGTGACTAGGGCTCCCAGGGACTATCCAGTCTCATGTCTTTTTTTTTTTTTTTTTTTTTTTTTTAAAAATTATAAAACACAAGTAAACAGAAAGGCAGGCAGGGAGGGGAGGGGGGGAAGGGAAGCAGGCTCCCTGCTGAGCAGAGAGCCCGATGCGGGGCTCGATCCCAGCACCCTGGGATCATGACCTGAGCCGAAGGCAGAGGCTTAAACCACTGAGCCACCCAGCACCCTCAGGCTCACGTCTTTATAGGGATTCTGAACCTGGGATCTATGGATCACCCTCAAGGGTCTCTAAACTCTTTGAAATAGGGGAATGTAGTGGGAAGGATACATTTTTCTGAGAGGAGAATTAAGTTTTCAAAAGATTCCAAAGGAGGACTTTAAACCAAGCAAAAGATTAAGAACCAATAAATGCAACTAGTAGGTAAGAGGAATATTTTCTTTCTTCAGCACAGCTCTTTCCCTTTATTTCCTTGTGGCACCTTCTCCGCCCACAATGCTTCTTTAGAGCAACAGAGGCCAGGGGAAAAAACCACCAGTCTCGCGGAAAGAAGTCTCAAGGTACACACTGTTAGTACATACAAAAACATAACTGAAAGGCTATAGAGGAAACTACTTCATCCATTATCATTTCATCTTAACAAGCCAAAGTTACTTGGTTTAATCAGTGTCTAATCAGTTCCAAGGACCAGAAGTTATAATTTCAAATGCAGCCAGTGGGAAATTACCATAAATGCACAAAAAAGGAAACAAAACAGGAGCCAGATTTCTTGCATTGCTACCAAGCTTAACACCTGCCTAGTTCCACTGACTTCTTAAAAGCATGTGGGCCCAAGTGTATGTTAACTAACTAGAATTTAAAGGAAAATTTGAAAAAATAAAATAATATAAAATAAAACAAAATAAAGGCATGTAGGCCATCCCGCTACCCAAAAGAAAACAGCCACACAAAACATAACCCTGGGCCTCTTCTGGCCCAATCACTTGGTAGTTTCCATTCCTGCTTCAGACTGATGCTAAAACTTATTTATAACTTAGTTGCCCCTTGGATTGCTATAGTCATCAGAACCCCACCATACAACGGTGGGGACAAAATAAATACTCTATGCAAAGTGCTTAGAGTAAGTATTCAAGAAAAGGTGAATCCCCACCCCGCCCCCTTCCCTGGGACTTCTCTTCTGGCTTGGTTTTCACCCAGCACATCTCCACCAGCTCGCTTATCTCTAGGATCTTTTTACCTGCCTGTTAGGAATAACTCCAAGTTGCTACCCTGTATTTAAAAAACTTTATTCACTTCATCTTGCTAATATACTCCCATAGCTTCCTTCCTTCCATCTGCCCCTCAATTTCTTCAACTTGAACAAATACCTACTTTCTTATCTGGTTGTTATAAGCACTTTCTCTTTTTTTTTTTTTTTCCACTCAGTTAACACATATTATCCTAAAAACCTTTCCTGATGCTAGGGTACCTTTCCCAGCATCATCCTTCCTCTTGAAAAATACACACTTTGATATCCATATTCTTTTTTTTTTTTTAAAGATTTTATTTATTTAGGGGCACCTGGGTGGCTCAGTTGATTAACTGCTGCCTTCGGCTCAGGTCTTGATTCCAGGGTCCTGGGATCAAGTCCTGCATTGGGCTCCTTGCTCAGCAGGGAGTTTGCTTCTCTCGCTGCCTCTGCCTGCCTCTCTGCCTGCTTGTGCGTACTCTCTCTCTCTCTGGCAAATAAATTTTTAAAAAAATCTTAAGATTTTATTTACTTATTTGACAGAGAAAGAGATCACATGTAGGCAGAGGCAGGCAGAGAGGCAGGCAGAGAGAGAGGGGGGAAGCAGGCTCCCGGGTGAGCAGAGAGCCCAACGCAGGGCTCAATCCCAGGACCCTGAGACTGTGCCCTGAGCCAAAGGCAGAGGCTTAACTCACTGAGCCACCCAGGCGCCCCTGGTATCCATACTCTTGAGGGTGGAAGTTTCTACCACAAAATACCAGAGATAGATCAGAGACCATTTTAATAAAGATAAATGTGCAGCTTTCTAGGTTTTAAAAACCAATTACTAGGAATAAAAGGGAAGATACGACTCAATGGTACACCAGAAAAAGACCTGATGGGAGTTTGGCTGAAAGCTCAAAATGCTGAGCAGACTGCCACAGTTAGCCAAGGGAGACTTGAGAAATAGTGTCTGGAAGGATAGACAGAAGGAGAACCCCACTGTGTTGCGACCTCATTATTCTGTATTTGGATTATTGTATTTAGTTCTCAGGATCACATTTTCAAAGCAACATTGAAAAGATGGAACGTGTCCAGGTGGAAAAGTCACCAGGGCAAGGGAAGGCTGGAAAATATATTCGATGACGAAAAGAAGAATGTTAAAAGCGTCTGGGAATGTTTTTTCTGGAAAGATTCATGCTTGAGGAGTAAGAGGAAGAGGGATAAACAAACTTCAAGGATACGCAGGCCAACAAGTAAAGGAAGATTTGGATTTAGTCTACACAGCTCAGGAGAGCACTCTAAGTATGACAGGTGCTATGCTCACCTCAGAACAAGATGCAACAATAAGAGCTCTTTGTCAAATACAATAGGTTGCTTTACAAGTAGTAAGCTTCCCATCTCTGGGAGTGATCAAGTAGAAAGAAGTTAGCTGACCATCTGTTAGGGATTTGAAAAGGAGATTCCTGCACCTTTTCCAGCTGAGATGGTATGACCCTAGATAGTCTGAGTGAATGATCTTGTATATTCACTGTGACAGTTTAAGTACTCACCAGATTCTTTTCAATATCTTGATCCGTGTTTACCTCTGAATCGGCCGTCTTAAAGTCAGTCTACAAAGAAAGAAGCAATTATATTCAGGATTGTTCAGAGACGTTTTAAAAGGCAGAACTGCTCTTTAGTAATTTTACCTAGAAATCTGTCACAAGTAACTAAGCAGCTAAATTTTGTTTTCCCTTAGTGGCTTCTTAAGGGAAGAACTCTAGGTCTGGCAAATAGGAGCTGGCATGTATATTGCATGGAACATTTATCCCACAAAAGAACCTGAATGAGACCCAAGAGCTGACAGAGAGACAGCTTCAAGTGTGAAGTAAGAATTTCGCCCCCTACTGCCTACTGTGCCCATCTTTCCTCCTATAACAAAGCACACCAAGCACTAGGAGGCAGGATCCACTGTACTTCTTAAGAGGTAGGTCAGAGAATTAACAAGGATTCCTCCTGCAAGGACAAAGATGGGAAATATGAATGCTAATGACCTACACTCATCCATTAGTCGGTGAAAGAGATTATACGTAGGTCATAAAGTTTCTCGGCGCCACGATAGGACCCTGGCTCCTGGCTTTATTATTTATTGAATACCAGAAGGATGACATCACACAGCACCGCACGAAAATCGTACGATAGTCACCAATAAAAAAACGGGACAGAGTAGTTCTCCACCACCTACGAAGAAAAAAGTCTCCTACCCTCGATAAATATAGAAATACATCAATAGCCCAAATTCCACGTTAGTAGTAGAAACTTGATACTTGACCTGTACAGCAATGTTCTGAGAAAGCTTCAGGGCAGAGCTATCCTGATCATCCTCATCCACTCTGACTCCTTCAACCCCATTTGCTGGAGGCACCACAGGTCGGAAATCCAAGCCTGTGTCCCTGCTACCTTCCTTTAGGATGGAGGCTGGTGGGGATTTCTCTTCAGAACAATTCCCGGAGGCAAGCTGCTTTGTATGGCCCCCTGCCTTAAGAGACCGAGTGACAGGATGGAGGTTCTCCCGGAGGCATGTGTCCCCCTCCTCTCCTGCTGTGTCGGCCACGTCCTTCAAATCAGACTGAGACCCACCGCCAGAAAGACAAAGGGCTGTGGCTAGCAAGTTTTCTCCTAAAACCGCCCGGTGCGCTGCTGAAGTGTCACCTGCTGATGAACCAGGATTCTGCTCTGGGTGTTCCAAATGGACATTTCTGTTATTCTCCTTGGTTATCGTTTGGCTACTTACACTCGACAGAGGCGAGTTCTTGTGCTTCTGTGCAGGGTCTTTGGGGCTATCAAAAACACAAGATAAAAAGTTTCACTCTTCACCCAATCTTAAGGAAGATTAAAGACATAATATCTTTAACGTAACGACTAGAAGAACAAAACCAGACTACATAAGCCCCTCAAATTATCAGAATGACGTGGAACTTGGTCTTTGCCCAGCGATTCTGACCCATATGCGGGGAGTGGAGCCTGATGGTTAGAAGCTGGGTGCTGGAAACAGACATTTCCTGTCGGGTGACCGTAAATAAACATAATAAATGACCCCGAAGAGCCTCAGATTTGTGAGGCCCAATTTGAATACTTTTGGGGAATGTCACTGAAACAGCCTACTACTCATTAAGAGTTTTTCATTTAGTAAGCTGTACTGACTTGGTTACACGTCATGTTCTAATAAAAAAATATTAATTTGGAAAAAATGTTTTTATTCCACTCTCACGTTTCATAAAAATAATTTTCATTCAAATCCCTCACACAGTGCTCGCTTCGGCAGCACATATACTAAAATCCCTCACACAGATCTTTGGCCAGAACCACCTTTCGGGTTCCTCGACAGTTTCCCAGAGCACAGGATCCTCACTTGAGGTTGTCTGAGGTACAGGCACCAAATCCAAAACTGAAGCTATCAGTGGGACCTTTATCCCGGACAAATACATGCACACGGAGAAACCGGGAAAGCCATTCTGTCGTTTGTCATGGCCAGTTACGTATTGCTTTTTTTGAAGAGATCTTTAAAACCGATTTACAGTGACATCTAACATTCACAACAGTGAACCTGCCACCCAGGAATAATGACTGCATCTGTGTTAAATTTCTTTGCCCCCTTTTAAAAAAAAAAAAAAAAAAAAACAAAACAGATTGTGTCAACTGATGTCCTTAAGTACCCCAAGCCAGCACTGACTGAGGCTTTAGGTGACGGTGCCTTCCTGTCCTCAACAACACATGTTGTTCAAAATAAAAGAACCAACAGTGCCTTTGGGGTATGAAAACCTTCATGAAGACCTCTAGCTGACTCCTTCCTGAGAGTTATCTGGGGAAGTGGGGGAAACACTTAGACTATTAATTTGGGCGTACACAGTGCAGTACCCGGGTGCAAATCCTGCTCCGCTATTTACCAGTTGTCTCTCGTTAAGTTACTTCACCTCATTCGTCAAAATGAAACATAACCCACCTAACAGGGTTATTGGGAGGATGACGTGAAATCGGGCATCTGAAGTATTTAGTACAGGGCTTGGCACGGTATACATTCAATCAACGCTAGGTGCCATCACTATTCCTAGGAGGATGTGGATGATTCTACTTATAAAATGAAGATCCAGGATTATGGTTAGGCTTACTCAACATTTTCCCCCATTACCCATTAGCCAACAAATCTCTAATTTAAACCGGTATTTATGAGGTGCTGCGAGTCAGACAAGCCTGGGTTCAAACCCTGACTCCAGTGTAGCTCGGCAACCCTGAGGCAAGTGTATCTCAATCTCCTCACCTGTAAATGGGAATAACATTAGCAACTCCCTCCTAGGGCTGTTATGAGGATTAAATGTGTTAATACATATTCAACTGTTGGTACAGTATGATCTATTATATCGGGTCCCAGGTGCTCTAGAAAAGAGTTGAGGAGGAATATAGAGTTGACTTAGCACAACACTGTACATAACTATGCATTAAGGACTGTACGATGCAAAGCTGGGAAACCGTAATTCAGCCCTCAAGAGTGTAGACAGGAGGCAAAATATCTACGTGAAGCAGGAAGCCATAGGAACAAAGCTATCTGTAGATAATACAGATACACGTATATCTGTGGGTATGTATGAATATACACGTGCTTTACACATATATATGCGTACACATCCGTATCTCTATGTAACACAGAAAACATACAAATACACAAGTATGATATATAATATCAATATATGTAATCATAACATAAATATACAGGCATAATATGCAGATATAGACACAGATATTATGTTATACAATTAATTGAACATACAGTAAAGGGTGGGGAAATACTAGCATTTTCAGAAGAGTTTCACCCCCTGTATTCTACTGACACACTTAGCATGCCTGCTGAGTGCCAGACGCTCTGTTAGGTACCATAAATACACACAGGGATCAGACAGTCCCCACCTTTAAAAAGCTTACTCTGGGCCAGGGCCATTAGAGCCAAAAAGAGGAAAACCCCACTCCGTTTCCGTAAGAAGCCATCCCACAAAAGCCCTTCGCCCGAATGAAATCTTCCCAGTCAAGGATGCGTACGTTACCTTAGACCATCTGGGAGACCTTCGTCTGATTTGGAAGCACATAAGCTAGAGGAGGATTCTGGAGGATTGGGGGCACTGGACACCACACCAGCTACCTCAGACGCCGCCGCCATCATGCTCTGTACATTCAGAAACAAATTACAGGCTGCATGTTTCCAATTTTTAAAACGAGCCTATCTTTCCCTGTTGGAAGGTCCATACCAGAGTTGTTCCAGGAAAGAAACACAAAGAAAAAGCTGGGTCCCAAGAGAAAATACTGAGTTTTTCTGTAGCAGGGTATTAAAAGAGCCACTGGGCACAAGAGGCCCCAGTGGACACGGATCCTCAAAAATCACCAGCTTTATATAAATCTCTAGGAGTCTGTGCAAAGCTTTCCCGCTTTTGGCAGAGATGCAGTCATTTAAAACAGACTACAGTGTGTGAGAATCGTCCAAACGGTCCACATGCCTTCTTTATCTAGTATTATTTACAAAGAATGCATTTGGGGCCTAATAATCAACCACAGCATACATTTTAAACCATTACAATCATCCTCTGTTCATTTAAGTAAAGTTGTTTGGAGGTGCTCATGTGTGAGAAAAGAGCAATGCGATGTTGGGCAATCAGAGCATCTTCTAGCGTCAGTGTGCTCCCCACACATGGGAAATGTTTGAGAGCCACTGATGGAGAAAAATACAGACTCTTCAGAGTTACTACAGGAATGCAAAAGAGTACAGGAATCTTGGGTACTCCTCCAAGAAACAGAGAGGCTGAGAAACAGGGTAATCCAAGTCAGGGGATGGGGACGGAGGCCTTTCCTGGATCAGGAGGTCATCCTTTGTGTAGCAGGACAAACTCACAGCCCTCTACGGTGAAGACAAAGGGGGGAAAAGAATGTGGGGGGGGGGTGGAAGTGTTAGTTTAAATTATTGTTTTTATTTTAATAGCATCATAGGTATTTACACCGCCCCCAGCTCCGCCCGGAACCTTCAAGCATGGGCAAGAATGGAGACTGGGCGCTGTCAACACTTCAGTCACAGGCCGGCGAGCCGCTGTGCCTCAGTTTCCCCCATTATATAAAGCTCCTAGGAGGAAATGGGCCCCAATCGCCATTACTGCTCCCTCGGGTGCAAACATCCTGCCCCGACAGAGCCCAGGGTCGGGGGTCCTCGGTGCCCAGGGCATGGGTCCTACGTGCGACTCTGCCGCTACAGCCCAAAGGGGAGCGGGGCAGGTACGTCGGGCTGCAGGCTGCGGCGCGGGGTAAGAAGGCGAACGTGTCAAGGGAATCCCTGCGGCGACCGCCAGCGAGGTGGCGACGCCGGGAGCGACGGGTGCTCGGGGGGAAACGGGGCACGGCCGCGAAGGGGACAATGGGGGAAGCAGCGCCGGGCGGCCACGGCCGCCTCAACCGGGGACCGCTAAGTCCGCCGCCTCCTCCGGCCAGGCCCCCCCACACCTCTCTATCGCGTCTCCCACCCTCACCCCACCGCGTCGCCGGCGCCGTCCCGTTCCTAGGCCGGGACCCCTGCCCCGTCCGCACGGGCCCCCTCCACGCCCCCCGCCTCGACGACCCCCCTCCGCCCCTGCCCTGGCCCCCGGCGTCGCAGCCCCCTCCCCGCGCGCCCGCCCCGCACACACCTCCCGCGCCGCGCCCCCGGGAGGCAGTGGGGGAGGGACGGGACGCACCTGAGCGGGCGGAGCGGGGGGAGGGGGCGGCCGAGCCTCGGGGGGAGGGGTCTAGCGCCGGCCCGCGCACCGCACCTCCCACTTCCGGCGGCGCGAGCGGAGCGGGCGAGGCTCGGTCCGGAGAGGAGCGGCCTCGGCGGCACTGCGCCGCCCCCGACGGCGCCCTCTGGCGGCCAGAGCCGGCACCGCGGAGGAGCCGCGGACTCCGCGGTAGGCCCCTAACGTACAAGTGGACCCTCCCGGGGACGCGGGGAGAGAGAGAGAGGCGACGGCGAGAAGGAAGGAGACCCGGCGGAGGGAGGAGCTCCTCTGGGAAGGCCCCAGGGAGAGTCGGGGCCATGGCGATGAGAGAGAGAAGAGGAATGAGGTGTTTTTAAAAAGGTCGCAACCGAGACGCCCTTTCCAGAGGACGCCATGAAGGGCAAGACCGTCCGTCCGGACAGGGCCCCCGCTGGAGACACCCCGACAACTCGGGGCGGTGGGGCCAGGCGAGCGGAGCCCAGCACTCCCGCACGCTCCCCTCCCGGCGGAGGATGCTCGGAGCTGGAGGCCCCCTAGCGCGGGTTGCTCCGGGCCGCTGGGCCGGGCCGGGGCCCCGCCGCTGATTGGTTGCGCCGCCCGGCGGAAGTGATGCTACTGTCACTGGCTCCCCGGGCTCCCGGGAAGCCGCGAGTTTCCGCAGGGAGGCGGCGGCAGCAGCTGCGGCCGGGCCGGTGAGTTGGGAACTCGGTGGGGGCGGGGCAGGGGAAGTCCGAGTGGCCCAGAGCCGCGGGGGCACCGGCCCCTGTAGACCAGGGGGCCGCATCGAGGGCGCCCTCAGCCCCGACGTGGGGGAGCCCTGGGAGACGGGCCACCAGGGTCGCGGATCCCAGGGTAGTAGGAGGTCCCTCTGAGGGGAGGGTCACAGTGCACAGGCCAGTCGGGGCCGGAGAGAAGGAAATCAATGAAACTGACTCGGGACTCAACCTGGTTTCTAGGAACCGGGTGGAGAGGTTGCGAGGAGGCAGTCTCTTGGGACAGTCTCTTTGCAGGACTCAGGGCTGCCCATATTCTTTCTTTTTTTCCCTTGGCACCTGAGAGCTGTTAAGAGACGCAAAGCAGTTGGGTGAGGTTGTGATCTGCTTTCAGGGACTATTTAAGGTTCCTTTCCCAGAAACCTGGGGTGGGAGTGGGAGACGGTCCTGCTCTGCCAATAGAAGGGAGGAAGTGGTGGTCAGGGTTCTCTTCTCTTCCGGAAATGCATGGGATCTAGGGGACTTGGTGGGGCACTATCTGGCTATTTGGCAAGATGTTGTTTTACTTAGTAAGGTCTGGGAAAGGCATCTGAGTGTGTTGGGACAGTGGAGGCTGCTGGAGGGCCGCGAGGAATTTGAGAGGGAATGCGCCTGGGAATGAGAAGGAGACACGGAATGCAGCTTTTTGGAGGGAAAAGTCAGGTGGCCTAAGTTCTCTTCTCCCTTTCCAAAGAGATTTCAGTAAAATACCTATTTTTCCGTCACGTTTTGGGTTGGATCCCTTTGGGCGCGTGTGGGTAGGAAGCCCTGCCTCGGGGTGACACCAGCACAGAGCAGATGACTCCAAAGGAACCTAGTCACCAATAGGTACACACAGGTTCTGCTGCCCCCCTCACCTGTCCCTGGCCCCACCGTTGCCCCCTGGTTCTAAATGTGGCCTTTCTGAAATCAAACCATGGCTGGCGATCCCAAGTTTGGAGCATAAGCCCTCACTTATAGGCCACCCAGCCGAGTTCGTGCTGAAGGATGGCCATGTTTAGTGCTACTTTCCAACTGTCCGATCATTTCTCCTTTCCTGGTTGCCCACATGCTTTTTAGGCCTGTTCAGTTTTGTTTGCATTCTCGGGTTCTCACCATTTCCTCTGCTTCCTACCTCCTCTTACTGCCCCTGGCATCCATCAGAGGTACAGAAATCAGGACGTTAGCTACTACCTCATCTTCTAGGAAATAGTACTCTTTGCTTCTCTAGGAGGGTGTCTTGGCAACAGTTCAAGCCCTCTTCTGGACCTCTGGGGAACAAAAAAAAGAGGGTGGCATGATGGTTAGGATAAGAAGTGGGGTTTCTGTGCCAGTCTGCAACCCACTTGAGATCCCTGGAAATGACATTTGATCATTGGCCACTTCCCTTGGTCACAGGTCATGGCTAGCCTCTGCTGGCTCCACTGAATTTGGAATGACACCATTTCTTCTTTGCTTGGGGCCCACAGTTCTGCAGTCTGTGCTCAGAACCGCCACTCCACAAGACAAATGCCTTGTCTCCATTTGCACAAAATGAGTGTGAGGTGGTTAGCCAGACCAGGAGCTCAACCTCGCACAGAGCCCAGGTAGGACTGGGGCACCCGCGTGGGGAGTCAGCCCTGAGGACAACTGGACTGAGATGTCAGCTGGGGGGAAGATTTATGTCCCCTCGAAATAAGGGAGGAAGAATAGTCATGATTTTGCCAGTCACCTACGGGAGCGATACGACTTTTGAGCCCTTTTCAGAGTTGCAGTGGCAAAGAGCAGCATGGTGCCTGTTAGCAGTTGGACGTCCTCCCTGATTATCTGGTGAGATGGCATTGCCATCCTGCCGCCTCGCGGGTATCTGCTGGGGTTGTACCTGCTCATACCCCACACCCTGCCCGTTGCTCTGGAATGAATGTTTATGAAAAGAGAGGATCCAGTGTTGGGGGGTTGTAGGCTGGTTGTCGGTGACCTACAGGGATGGCTTGGTCTCCTTACAGATTCCCCACAGGGGTCCCTGATTTCCTTCTGTTTGTCTGCAGCCTGCTGCTCTGATGCCGAAGGGGAGGCGGAAAGTGCCACACTTGGATGCCCCCCTGGGCCTACCCACCTGCCTCTGGCTGGAGTTGGCCGGGCTATTCTTACTGGTTCCCTGGGTCATGGGCCTGGCAGGGATCGATGGGCCCGGAGCCCAGGGTCCAGGGGGGCTAAGCTGGGCCGTGCACCTGGACAGCCTGGAAGGCGGCCGTCCGGAAGAGACTCTGGAGCAGCAGGCAGATGCCTTGGCCCAGGCAGCGGGGCTGCTGAATGCTGGGCGCATCGGGGAGCTGCGGGGGTACTACCTCCTTGTCCAGCCGGCGGGGCAGCAGCAGGGACAGCTGGCGGAGGCTGTGCGACGGCAGGCGGAGGCCGTGTTAGCCAGGCACGAGGCTGTGCGCTGGCACTCAGAGCAGAGGCTGCTCAAGCGGGCCAAGCGCAGCGTCCACTTCAACGACCCCAAGTACCCGCAGCAGTGGCACCTGGTGAGCCCGGCCCTGCCCCCTGCAGCCCTCAGGCGGAGAAATTGGGGTGCTCTGTTCTCTAGAGGGCCTTTGACCCTATTACTCTCCCATTGCCCCATCCTTTGCCTGAGGACACGTTTCATTTCTGTTGGCTTCAGGGGCGGGTTTTGCCCTCAGGCTCCTCCTTCCCTGTGCTGGCTTCTGGAGAGCCAGAAGTTGGGGTGTGGGTGCTGGGGCGAGGCTGCCCGGGCTCAGATCCAGCTCCTCCATTTACGTGGAGATTGTAACAGTGTGTACCTGGCAGAGTTTTGATTGGGAGAAATGAATTAATATGTGTGTGCCTGATGCTTTGTAAACATTTGGTACCACGTTATGTTTTGTAGTGTTCATAGGATATACGTTATATGGCCGAATCGTATCCTCCAAGCTTGTCCTTGCCACCATTTCACTTTTAGCACCGGTGAAGGATGCCAGGCCTTCCTGGAAAGGGAGCCTGTGGCAAAGCCCTCCCTTGTCCCTCTGTCCCCACCCAGACCTCTCAGTCCACAACCGCTGTGCGGCTCTTTGGTGGTGGCCGGGAGGGAAGGAAAAAGGGACTGTGAGCTCTGACTCATCTGTCTGTGAGCTATGTCGTGTGTCACTAGGCTCCCAAGGCTCTGGAATATTTCCTGAGCCTATGTTTCCCACAGAATAACAGGCGGAGCCCTGGCAGGGACATCAATGTGACAGGTGTATGGGAACGCAATGTCACGGGGCGAGGGGTGACGGTGGTGGTGGTGGATGACGGAGTGGAACATACCATCCAGGACATCGCACCCAACTACGTGAGTGGCCCTGGGACGCCCCCTCCAACGCCCACATCTTATCTCCTTCTTGTTACTGCCTCAGCCTGGCCCCCTTTCTTAGGGGTCCCCGGGCCACACAGAAGGGCCTGGGAGGTGGGATGGTGTTCTTCATCCTCCCCACTCTCCCAGCCAGCGTTCCAGTCTGGCAATTAAGACCCGGGGAGAGAACTTGGGACGGCACTTCCTGGTTCTGGCTGCTGCTCCCTGCCCTGGGGAGTAAGGAATGGCCTCTGGAGGCAACTTGCCTCTCCCCAGAGTTCTGAGCACCCTCCTCCTCCAAAGCCTGCTCTTTAGGTAGCTCTAAATCTCTTATCCTGGGCTTCCCAAGCTGCAGGGCTGTCTCCTGGGCCCGTTTCTGTAACGGACAAGAGAGACGTTTGCTGAGACCTGGGGCACTTCTCAGTTTTGCCCCATGTGTCCTGTTCTCACCTCTGCAGCCTGAGAGAGAGGGATGGGCCTGTTGTGCTGGCTGGGAGCCCCAAAGTCCCAGGTTCCCCCAGGTCTCCTCTCCCCCTGAGCGCCAGGACCCAATCCATTAAAACTTGTGAATGACCACATGTCCCCTCCAATGTTACAGAGCCCTGAGGGCAGCTATGACCTCAACTCCAACGACCCTGACCCAATGCCACACCCAGACGCGGAGAATGGCAACCACCATGGCACGAGGTGTGCGGGAGAGATTGCCGCCGTGCCCAACAACAGCTTCTGTGCCGTCGGAGTGGCCTACGGGAGCCGCATAGCAGGTACCTTCCGCACTAGCCTCAGTGGGCTTCACTCCCCGCCTGCTCCTCTCCCAAGGGCTGACCGTGTTGATCCCCCTTTCAACACACATGGAATCAGGCAAAGGATAAGTTTATGATAGACAGATCTGTAGGACGTATCAGGTCATTGATTTTTGTCAGTGTAGTGGTGTTTCAAACATGTCGCTAGCCGCAAACCCTATTATATAAAACATATCAAAGTGGGAATGGTCTCGAAGGGGGACGGAGGCCTCAAGCCCCAACCACTCACTGACTTGCCCCCTTTCTCTGATCGTGGTTATGTCCCATCAAATGACCGAGCTCACTGTAACAATAACTCCTTTTCCTTATCTAGATTATACTTGTATTTCCATAATTTCCCAAGTACCCTTTTAGTTGCCTCTCTTCCTTCATCCAGTCTGTCTGTGGAGACTCCCCTCCCATCTCCCAGCCCTTCTGAAGGTTACTGTCTACGCTCCCTCCTTTAAGGAGAGCTGAGCAGCCCTGGCCCCTACTGGAGCTTGTTCTAAGGCTCTTTCTCTTAGTCTTCCTACATCAAGAGGGAACGTACATCAAGGGGGAACGGGTAGAGCCTGAGTAGGGAAACCCTCCCCGACTGCTCATAAGTGCTTGGAACCTGCAACTGAACGGATTGGCTGTATTCCCCTTACTCTCCAGCAGAGGGCAGTAGCCCTCTCCATAAAGGAGCTACTGAGTGAGCCAGAAACTTCCTGACCCCAGTCCCCTCCCAAAGCTCCATCTGTTGCTACCTGATCACCAAGATGTGACCCACCCCATTTTACAGGGTAAAAGTAGGCATCCGTGGAGCAGTAATGGTCATAAGTACCATTTATTGGACACACTGTATGTGTCAAGCACTGCACCCGGGCTCTACAGGATTAAGGATGAAAATAAGGGAACCTTGACTGCCTACATTCTAGCCCAGGCCTCGTCCCACCAGCCCCGACGATCCTTAGAATCCAAGATTCAGCATTAGTTAAACAAACAAACAAGCCCGTTCTGGTACATACACATGGTCTAAAAAAAGAGCGCTCAGCAGGGAAAGGAAGCCTCCCCATGTGGCTTACCACCACCAGCTCCCCATCAGGGACCCACGTGGTCGGGGAGCTGACGCGGCCTTCACCGCCCAGGTATCCGGGTCCTGGACGGGCCCCTCACGGACAGCATGGAGGCCGTGGCGTTCAACACACACTACCAGATCAACGACATCTACAGCTGCAGGTACGGCTGGGCGGGGACGCGCAGCCCCTACAGCGGAACCGCAGGTGCCTGCTGGGGTCCTCTCGCCGCCTTCAGGCCGGAAGTCCGCCACCTGCGTCTCCAAACCCCCGGCCCTGGGTTCTCCGTCATAAGCCCCACGCCACCCCATCAACAGGGGCCCACACGAGGAGTGTCTGCCCCGTGTTTACCTTTTTCATGAGCTCCGAAGGGCTCCTTTCCCACCACAGCCCGGCAGAACACCCAGTGCCAGTTCCCGCCACCCTGCAGGCGTAAATGCAACTGCAGCTTTGGGTTCTGGCAATGGGTGGGGAGCGGGCGGGGCCTGGGCTCCTGAGAAAGGGGAAACCGAATTTGCGCTGCCCTCACAGCACCCATGGCACCGGCTCTTCCCCCAGCCGGCACCCCCTTAAATGCATGATGTCATCCATAGAGGACATTTCCCTTAGAGAAGGAAGAGAGAGCTCCTCAGACCCAGGAACTCACACAGACAATGTAGGTCCTTTGTGGGTACTCTGCCATCGAGCCTTGTCTGCGATCCCTAGATCAGAAGATGGGGTGTCCTCCAGTCCCTCTCTACCAATATGTATTGTCTCCTGCTCCCTGGGACCCAAGAAAGGATTTTCAGGGGCAGGTGAAGGTGGTCCTAGACGGGGAAAGTTTCTAAGGGAAAAAAAGAGCCTTGTCATGTATTTCCACTTTCCACTTTGGAGTGAAGGCTGGATCTTTGAACCCTGTGTCCTTTAATCATGGGGGGCCTGGACTGGAACCCTTGGGAGGACAGGAAGAGCCCAGGCAGGGCGTGGTCACTTGGGACTGGGAAGCCTGGATGGGCCACGACAGTGGGGCTCTGGCTCTTCCCTCTGGGTATTTCTCAACAGCTGGGGACCAGATGATGATGGGAAGACAGTGGATGGCCCCCACCAGCTTGGAAAGGTAACTGTGTGAAGATTGCAAGACCAAGTCGTTCACTTTCCCAGCCTACCCCATCTGTGGGGCCAGACTTACAGCATCCAGACCCACCACCTCCTTTGGGGCGACTCCTTCTAACCTGGAGGTGGGGCAGCACAGGGGACACCAGTTCTTAGAGAAGTGGACGGTGCCTTGAGTCATGTCCCTGTGATTCTGCCCTTGCCCCCGCATCACTGGCCCCACAGATCTGATAAGCAGCAGACTCACCAGACACTTGCTCAACTCCCAGCTCCCTCCCTTTCTTGTTTTCCATCTTTAAATCTCTCTCCACGTTGGCCCAATGCCTTTGGGCTTTTTCCCCTTTTCTTTCTGGAAGGGGAGGAGAGGAATGGTATGGAAGGTAGAGGTCTTTCTCTGAGCTCCTCAGCTGACCCATGACCGTTGTCCTCCTCAGGCTGCCTTGCAACACGGGGTGATTGCTGGCCGCAGGGGCTTTGGGAGCATCTTTGTGGTGGCCAGCGGCAATGGCGGTCAGCACAATGACAACTGCAACTACGACGGCTACGCCAACTCCATCTACACCGTCACCATAGGTAGTAGCCTGCGGTTGTGTGTGCGGGAGTGCTTGGTGTGTCGCTCCATGGGGAGGGGACTCTGTTTTGGTGTGTGTGGGACTCAGTGGGGAGGGGGTTATGTGTTTTGGGGTGTGTATCCCTCGGCGGTAGAGGGCTTCCATATTTTGGGGTGTGTGTGTCCCTCAGTGGGGAGGGGGAGGGGCTGTGGATTTGCTGGGTGCCCTGGCTTCCATGGTGTCTGTCCGTGTGAGCATGATCTTGTCTTCAGAGCCATATAGTTAGGAGTGACTAGCCCTGCTTCTGGGGATCTCAGGACTTCCTTAGATGTCACCATACCCCAGGAACACTTTCAGCCCGTCATCTGGTTAGGCCTCTGCTCCAGCCTCCCTTCCCATGGGCCACTTGGCTCCTGCTTGAAGCCTTCCCTGACCCGTACGAGCCTGAATGAAATGCCCCATCCCTGTGCCCCCCACCACATCTGCTGCCCCGGTTGCATTTACTTACCTTACTTCCTCTCTGACTTTTGGCTCCTTGAGCTCGAGACTGTGGCCTTTTCCATGTGGCCCCGATGCCTCTCCCACTGCGGGACCCGCAGTAGATCATTAATGAGTGAATAAACGTGGAGAATGGTGAATGTGTGAACAGATGAGTGGTAATCGAGGGGAAGAATGTACTAGGGCCCAGAATCCCTTCTGCTGTTTGAGAACCTGGGACTCAGAACCTGGGACTGGTGAGGCGTATGTGCCCTCTGAGGCACTTGGGGGGCAGAGATCATTTTTTAAACACAGGACAGCCTCCCAGACGATAACTGATACCATCAGGCCCCTGGTGCGCGTCTCCCCTGCTCTGCCCCCAGGCGCTGTGGACGAGGAGGGACGGATGCCTTTCTATGCCGAGGAGTGTGCCTCCATGCTGGCGGTCACCTTCAGTGGTGGGGACAAGATGCTCCGAAGCATTGTGAGTGCCTCCTGTGCCCTGCGCTCCCCGTCACTGTCCCACAGGACACCCCTCAGGCAGCACGGCTGTATTTCTCAGGGTCGCTGCTCCCCCGCCCCGCCCCGCCCCTCCAGTTCCTCTTCCCCAGCAGATCGGGGTCTCATCGGGGCATGCCACTGTTGGGAAATCGGAACTAGGACCCTGAACAAACCTGTATGTGGTTTTTACCTTCAGCATTTTAACTTACGGATATATGTGTTTTTATAGAGACTAGTACGCATCACCCTGATTAAAGAACTCTTTTGAAATGTCTTCTTTTGGTGGAATTTGGGCTTTGGCTAATTCCTGTGGGCTTAGGAAAGAATCTTCATTCCATTACTCTTCAGCCCTTATATAAATACTATGAGTTCTGGTCACGTTCCTCATCGGAGTAAAGCTAGTGGTTGTTTTCACGGGATGGGTGGGAAAAGGAGTCTGGGAAATGTCTGTAAACCCAAGAAACACTTCTTTCCTTGGAGCTAGAATTGGAGCCACGTCCAACAAGGGATCAGAGCAGGGGAGTGGAGCTTGTCACGCTGGGGAACCTTTTAAAGAATTCAGGCTCTGCTTCGCACACCCGCTGGCTTAGCTCCATCCCGGCATGTTCAGGCCAGGTCTCTGGACTGGGACCCCAGAGCTCCAGGGAAGAGCTAGGCTAGAGCCTGGGGGTGTCCTCCTTCTCCAGAGGCCTAGGGATAGACATCTCTCTGGGGCCGCTTTGTCTTCCTGCTGGGTCACATTCCTTCTCCAAAACTGAAATTCTATTTTGCCAATAAGTGACTTCTGGCCAACGTACGGTTCCAAGGCCCTGTGCCTGTGGCCCTCTGCCTCCCGCTCCCGCCCAGGGAGAAGGAAAAAGGGAGTGGGCTAAAGGAAACACATCAGAGAGGCTTTGCCCAGCAGGCAGGCGTCGGATTCAGAGGGCCCCCTGCTCCCCAAAGGCCAGGCTGGGTGAGAAGAAAGAGCAGGAGCAAACTGTGCTCTTGGTGCCCTGGCAGAAACTGGGGAGCCTACTCGCCGAGGCCTCCCTAGCATCTTTGAGACTTGCTTGGCAGTGCCTGGCTGTTCTAACTCCCCTCCCCTTCCTACTCCCACCCCCGCCTCCACCTGAACTGTCACTCGCCCAGAAGTGAGAGGAGTTTGTGTAGCCAAGGTCCCAGCTTTGGGATGTCCTTGCCTTGGAAACCCCACTGCCAGTTCCCGCTCAGTGACCAGCGGTCTCCTTGGGGGCAGGGCGAGCCACCTGTGCTATTCCCCCGCTGGGCGCCTGGGGTGCTCCCCTGGACTTTCCCAGGGCTGCCTGGGGCTCCTGCCGCCCTAGGCATGTTCACGGCCCTCACAGCTACCCCTGAGACTATCCCGTGACGCGGTTTCCTTAACAGGAAAAAACCCAATCTGCTCCCTGGCACAGACCAGCCTTCCCAGTCTCATTGAGGCTGCAACTTGGAGGGCTTTTTCCTTTTTCTTCTGGGAGCACACGGTGTCTGAGTGAAAACCCCATCTCTTGGCGGCCGCTGTAACAGCTGGGAGGGAAGCAGTGAGGACAGTGGAGAAAGGGCAGTTCTTGGCAGAAGTTAGCACCCTGGTATCTGACCCAGGGAGAAGCCTGGAAGGAAAAAATTCTCTAGTCTTAACATTGGCACCATGTCCTAGATCCAAAGAGCCACAGCGTGGGGCAGATTTAGGCAAACCCTTTATGGCTCCAGGGTTGATTAGAGCATGAAAAGAAGAGCTTGATGCCTTCTCTCCCCATGAGGTAACTCCCCTTCCCCGCCCCCACCTACTGTCGCCTCCCACCTCAGAACCACAGGTAGAGAAGGGGGGCTCTCGGGAACCACACTGAGGCACCAGGCCCAGAGCGGTGAGGCAGTTTGGGCCAGGGCGGGCAGGCCGTGTAGACACGAAGCCCGCACTGAGCTCACAGGGTGGGCAAGGACTCAGTTCCCTCTCCCTGGGAACACACTCCCTTTGTTCCCACTGATGTCACTCCAGCCCTTGTCGCAGAGCTGCCAAGTTGGATTTCCTTGAATGGTGCCGTCACTGTTGTCCCAGCTCCAGCTGGGGCCCAGGAGCTCCCCCAGCCACTTCCTCCGTCTAGCATGGCCACAGGTCCTGGAGGGTAGGGTTGGGGAATTGGGGAAGCTATTATTAGAGGAGCAGGAATCAGAAAGGCTGTCCTCTGCACGTAAGGCATCTCCCACAGCGCTCTCTCCTTTCTGCCTGCAGCCAAACCCTCCAAAGTAGCTCTTTAGTCTTTACTCATCTTTTCTCAGTTCTCCAGAGCTTGTCCTGCAGGGCCTCGAAGGGTTAAGGATCTCCTTTGTGCTGACCCGATAGTGGGCCTCCCTCTGGTCAGAGGTTGGTTCTCACAAGGGAAGGGCCCACCCAAGAGGCTTACTCTGAGCGCCCATCCCCCACTCCCCTACCCACCCCCCCTCCCCTCCCCCCCCCCCCTCCGCATAGCACCCGTGCACTCTGTGTCTAACCCCGCCCTCCCCCCCTCCCCCGTCCACACCCCAGGTGACCACGGACTGGGACCTTCAGAAGGGCACAGGCTGCACCGAGGGCCACACGGGGACTTCGGCCGCGGCCCCCCTCGCAGCGGGCATGATAGCGCTGATGCTGCAGGTGCGGCCGTGCCTCACGTGGCGGGATGTCCAACACATCATTGTCTTCACAGCCACGCAGGTGAGACCCAGCCGCCTTCCCCACGCTTCTGCTTCCGTGCACGTGCAGGGAGCAGGCGGCTTCAGACTTGCCCAAATGCGAGGGGCCAGATGCTTTCCAGAGTTGCCGGTGTGTAGAACAGGTGCGAGTGGCCCGTCAAGATTTCGGGCCCGAACTCGTTCGTACCTGCTCTGCCTGAGCCATTTCACCAGCTGAGCAGCACGCTGGGCTCCCTTCCTCCGGGGCCTGTGACTCCTGGCCCCTCTCCAGGAGCAAGCCGGGCAGGTGGTGACTTCGTGGGGCTTGGACCTTTTGTTCCAGCTCTCCTTGGGGAACCCATTCCCCTCGGCCCCGAGTGGGAGTTTGGCCCAGGTCAGCCAACAGGGGCAGCAAGGAAACCCGAGTTACGTTGTTGACCTTGTAGTTGCCCCTTGAACAACATGGGTCTCGATGCATGGATCTGCTGTAAATGTATTTCCTTTTCCTCAAGATTTTCTGGATAACATTCCCTTTTCTCTAGCTGACTCTACTGTAGGAATACAATACATTATCGATGTGACGTACAAAATTGGTGTTTATCAACTGCTTCCGTTCCCCGTGAAGCTCCTAGTCTGCAGGGGCTATTTGTAGTTAAGGTTTGGGCAGTTAGAAGTTATACATGGAGTTTCAGCTGTGTTGAACTGACTTGTCTGAGAGTCACGCATACCTCGGAAATCCCAGAGACTAAGCGGCACCTCTGTTCTCACAGTATGAGGATCGCCGTGCCGACTGGGTCACCAACGAGGCTGGCTTCAGCCACAGCCACCAGCACGGATTCGGCCTGCTCAATGCCTGGAGGCTCGTCAACGCAGCCAAGGTGAATGGGTGTTGGCAGCGCGGGGACCCCTGCCTGGCAGGATGGGGGGTGGGGGGCAAATGCCTAAAACCTTGCCTGGCACGTCGTAGGCACTTAATAAATGTTCTTCGTTTCGTTTACCCTCATGCCATCTGATACCCATTTTTCAAATGGAGAAGCAGGCTCAACACGCTCACAGAAGTTTCCGAACTGTTAGCGAGTGTAGCTTGGGGCTCCCAGGGTGCTCTGGTCATCCTCGCGCACCCTGGACGCAGCCACTCGCTCTGGTTCCGTGTTTTGGTGCCGTAGGGAGCGCTCCCGGGTGTCGGCAGGAGCCTCGGGAGTGAAAGGAGGTGATGAGGACAGGAGAGAGAAGAGCTGGGCCCCGAGAATCGAGTGGATGAGTGCGGCGGCCCATCTCGCTCATTCACCACCACCCCTTTCCTTTACTAGATCTGGACCTCTGTCCCTTACTTAGCTTCCTATGTCAGCCCTGTGTTAAAAGAGAACAAGGCTATCCCGCTGTCCCCCCACTCACTGGAGGTCCTGTGGAATGGTAAGTAGTCAGCAGAAAGGGGGTTAATCTCGGGCCTGAGGTTTGGGGCGGGGTGCCGGGGAAGTCCAGCTCATCGGCCCTGCCCGACTCTGCCCCCTTCCTTTAGGAGCTGAGCTCCAGGCAGACCTGTGGAGTTTTCTTTGACCATTTTAGGACATGTTGCCGCTTCTGACTTGGCTGGCCCCCTGGCTGCTTAAATAAGACCTTTCTCCTGAGTTACTAGTAGTGGAAGGAGCTGCTGAGCAACCGGTTAGAAGGGCGGGACAGGGGGAGGAGTGGCCCTGGGACTTGAGCCGCGGAGGCAGGACTTGAAAGATGCTGCTCCGACTTCTAGGCTGGGGACTGGCCAGGCAGTCCCCTTCAGCCCAGTGGCCTTTGGATGAAGAAAATGAATCTCTTCCTTTGACTCTCCGGCTTGTGTGATACAGAAGCCTGGTGGGGTGTTTGGGGCGGGACAGGAGGATGCTGATGTCTCCCCCGGGAGCGGTTATCTGTCCTCTGTCCCCGCCTCCGTCACAGCCAGGCTCCGTGGGGTTGTGTGAAGTGCTGCGGTTGAACCCTTTCCCGGACGAGAGGGCAGCGGGATGGGGATGCTTGTGCCCGACAGCAGATTCCCCTGAGTTCCGAGTGAGAGTTTCCGTACTCCCAGCTCCGAGGGGGATTTTTTTTCCCCTTAAAGAATTTTGCCAGGCAGAGTTATTTGCTATTTTTTGTGAAGATTGAAGTATGCCATGTTTTGGGCCCAAATTAGAACTCCCTGCTCACTTACCCCGGCTTGATCCTAGAGAGTGATCAAACCAAAGCAAGAATAAGACGAGGAATGGCCAAAGAAGGGAGCCCAGAAGGGAGGGGCAGGGCAGCTTCCCTCCGGTGGAGGTTTCCCCGAGAAGCGTTCCGTTGTCTGTCTCCCTAACCGTGTCTGTCACTTGCCCATTCCCTCTACGTGGAAGGAAATCCACGGGCCCGGTTCGTCGCGTTTTCCGTAAAAGGAATGCTGTCTTGGAAAGGGCATCCGCCAAGGCAGAGAAGTCCAGGAACATTCCTGGGAATGCAGTTCAGTCGGAACCCCTAGGCTTTGCGCTGATGAGTCTTGGAGATAGTGAACCTTTTAACCGGGACCTCTCACCCAGCACTCCCCCACTGTCCTTTAAGTAACAAAGTAATGCAGAGTCGCACTTGCCAAATGGGAGTTAACTTAGAAGAGGGTTGGGGGCCTTTCCAGCCTCGTCATCCTCTGCTTCCCACTGGCCAGGGGACCTTGCCCCAGCACGGGTGACAAACCTCCCCGGCAACCGCTTCTTTGTCACTAGGAAGCCTAAAAGCAAAGACACGTTGTCCTGGGCCGAGGAGAGTGGGAAATGGGCTAGTGGGCAGAGAGGATGAAGCAAAGGGAGGTGTAGACCCAGAGTTCTGCTAGCGTGGAGGGCAGCAGGCAGGACAGCTGCGAATTTCTGAGTTCAGCGAAGGTGTCTTCTCTCTTGTGGCTCCATTTATCCTCCAGCAGACAGGACAGAAAGTACAAGCCTGTGGGTGCACTTGGAGGTTGAAGGGACTGTAGTTAATATGGTTTAGAGCGACTAGACAGTCCACAGATATGCCCCTGTGACCAAGCTTGGTCTTTTCCCCCAGACCGGGGGAAATCGGTCTCCGAGGGCTCAAAGTCAGCTGTTTGTAAGAGGGAGGGAGCTGAAGGTCACCGAGAGAAGAGAGGAGGTGCGGTACTGCTAACACTGGAGAGGGGTGGTGTCCCACAGAACTTTCCACAGTGATGGAAATGCTCTCTACCCACTGGCCGTGTGAGGGCTATTTGACACTTAAGATGTGGCTAGTGTGAGTGAGGAGCTAAGTGTTAATTGTATTATATTTAACTTCACATAAATAACCACGTGTGCCGCCATGCTGGGCAGTGCAGTGATGGAGCCAGACAGAGGATATGGGGGAAAAAGGACTGGGGGAAAAAGGACTGCCTCCAGGTCTGAAATCACTACCAGAGGGCAGGAGGGGCAGCGGGGTTGGGGAGGAGTGTCTAACACACTAGAGCGTCTGCACGCCTTCAGGGAATTTCCTGAAGCCCCTTGTAGTTACCCTGTTACCCTACTTGAAGCCTGAGTGTGACAGGCGAGGCCTCCGTGGAGGCAGGAGTCCTGCTGCCTCTCTGTGCCTCCCCTGTCCCGCCCACCCTCTCCCTCTGCACTGACTTTTCTGCCTTCACACGCCCTTGGGTCACCTATGGGGAAACAAATGGAAGTCCCTGTTGGCCTTTAACCTGGAACCCTTAAAAGTGAATGAACTAAAGCCACCGGTCACTTTTTTTTTTTTTTTTCAAAAATTTTATTCATTTGTCAGACAGAGATCACAAGTAAGCAGAGAGACAGGCAGAGAGAGAGGAAGGGAAGCAGGCTCCCTGCCAAGCAGAAAGCCAGATGCGGGGCTCAATCCCAGGACCCTGGGATCATGACCTGAGCCGAAGGCAGAGGCTTTAACCCACTGAGCCACCCAGGCGCCCCAGCCACTGGTCACTTTTATCACCCCGTCTCTACCACTAAAGACTCGGTTCCAAGGCTCACAGTGCCCCCTTTCCCGGTCAGGCATGGGGGTTAGTTCAGAGTTCATCCTTCTCGACCTTTCTGCCGCTGTGACCCTATTTACGGGGCCCTGGGAGCAGCCTCCCTCCTGTGCAGCCTCCATGACCTCCTCTCTCCAGAGCCCTCTCTTAGCTCTGCTGCCGAGGTCCTCGCGTCCTTTGTGGGCCCGGTCACCGCTCCCAGCCCTTGAGTGCCTCCTCACACTCCTCTGTGGCTCTGTCTCTTCCTTCGGGTCTCTCCCTCCACCGTGCAGCAGTTCTCATGACTTCCATGAAGGATTCTTAGCTCAAAATCTCGTCCTCTGATCCCTTACCGGTGGGAGGGGTAGAGATTGTCAGAGCTCCCCCAAGATCACGAGCGGAGGAAGCCCTGGGACCTTCTGGTCAAGGGGGGAGAGTTGAGAAAGACCCTGACTTATTCCCAAATGAGAATAGTTAGACGGTCCTCATCAGCTGGGACTTCAATGCTTCTTGCGAGCCAAGCACCCTTCCGAGTGTTCCTTCATTTAACTCCATAACTCACTTGATTCCAGCGTCCCCACGTGCGCGGCCACCGGAGTCTGTCCGCACCAGTAGAAAGGGCATGTGGCATGGCCCCACACATACCCTAACACAGACGGGCTCTCATGGGACTCTCTTTGGATTCCATTCTGTTCTGTGACATTCTGGAATATGGCATTGATGCTTTGTGAGCCCCTTGTCTGCCACGTTAATGCCAGCCATGCCACCGGTGTCCCCCTGCAGCTTCCTCTACCTGCGTCACCGTGCAGTGTTGGGTGTCCCACCAGCACACGGCACATCACAAATACGACATTTCAGATTTCATTGTCATCCTCCAAAAGCCAGCTTACTTTCCAGGTTTCTCCCATTTTCCGTCAGTGCCCTTGCCTTGCTATAGAGTCACACGCTTGAAGCTCTGGCGTGGTCAGCCACTCCGGACCGCTTGCTTCTCCCCAGGTCTTGCCCTGTCCGTTCCCGTGCAAGGCCGTCTTTCCATACTTCTCTGCAATGTCTCTCGATCGATTCACTCATTCATTCTGCTAACGCGAGACCCACCTCGTTCCAGGCACTGCGTTAAGTTCTGGGGATTCAGGGATAAAACAGGATTCCTGCCCTTAGGACCTCACAGTCTGGGAGGGGGAAGGCAGCCTGTCTGCTGTAGAGATGACACAGTGTCAGAGAGACGACCCCCACTCAGGAGGGCTGTTAGAGAAGCTAGGGACCGACCTAAGCTGGGGGAAGAGGTAAAGAGAGGGCCATCTAGAAGCAGGGGCCACACATGTAGAGTCCACAGAACTTCAGGGAGCCTCGAGTTGTGTGGCATGGCTGGGGCAGGGCCAGACAGAACTGCCTGTGCCTCAGTAAGGAAGTTGAACGTGACCTGGAGGTCTGTATGTGGGGAGCCTTTGAGATAAGTTGTCACGAGTTGCTGGTAGGGGAGGGTGAAGGAGACCAGTCCCTTGTCTTTCAGAGCTATATACTCGGTCTCTGCCTTCACATGACTCTGGGAAGGAGAAGTGAGGACTGTTAATGGAACAAGATTGGTTATAAATTGATAAACATTGGGAGTTCGGTATTAAGAACAGCTGTTCTATTTTTTATATATGCCTGGAATTTTCTGTAGTCAGAATGTATATGTATGAATGTATATATAATGTATATAGTATATACATATATAAAATGTATATATATAATGTATGAATGTATATATAAATATATACTTGCATTTATGTTTTTTAACATATAAAAAGATTTCCAAGTTTTTGAGCTTGAGCAAGTGTCTAGTTAGTAGTGACATCAAATGAGATGAAGAACCCTGGCCCAAGGACAGATCTGGGCAAGGGCTGGGCAGTATGAAGGCCAAGGCCTAGAATTTGGCTCTGCTGTGTTTGAGATTTCGGGCAACACCTAACGGTTATATCCAGAAAGCAGTGAGGAAGTAAGTTCAAAAGGGAAGAAAAGGTCTGGGGAGGAGGTCCCCAGGGTAGGTGGGCAGACAAAGGATAAAAGGATAAAAGAGGACCCGGCAAACGGACTGGGACTGCGTTAAAGCGTGGTGGTCCGAGGAAGGACCCTTCCGGAGGAGAACAGGAGGGATGAGATGGGCTGGTGGGGGAAGGGGGGAGGAGGAAGTCAGGAGGATGGTATCGTGGGAACTCAGGGCTGTCTCAGTGAGAGAGGGCAAGGAGACAAGGACGGAAGGGGCGGTCCTGGGTTTGCTGCACAGGCCCCTGGTGCCTTTGAGAACCGTTTCCAGGTACTCATAGGGGCAAATGCTCCATCTCAGCTGGTTGAGTAATTCGTAGAGGCAGGAGATTTCTGGTTAAAGGTGGCAAATTGTGATGTCCTTTTATTTCTACTTTTTCCCAAAACCTCACCAAAATAAGAATAAAGGAATAAAAATGGTATAAGCACAAGGACAAAGAGAATGGGAGAGAGAGCTTAGCAAATGAGAGACTTCTTCACATTTTTAGAAGATGAAAAACGAATGGAGAAGTGAGCAGGGCTGAGAAAATTGCATACCAAGTGTCTGCAAGGGTGATACTAAGAAATAAGCCCCTTCATGCCCCAGAGTCCCAGCGGGCTCGGGACTCAGAATTACCATGTGCTCCAGGAGACAGTGGCGGGTTTGAGGCGGAAAATAGGGATCCGTAAAAAGGTAGATGCCAGGCCACCTTCTCCCAGCCTTGGCAGCCAGATGATGTCCCTTCCTTATTCTGCCAGGAGTTGGGAAGTTTCTTGTCCAGAGACAGGGAATGTCCTGGGAGAGGGGGCCCCTCCCCTCCAAGCCAGCCCAGATCCCAGGGCCCTGGCAGCCAGGAGCTTGGTGGTTCCTCTCTGGGGCAATGGAAGGACCCCTCACCGAAAGACTTGGAGATACAGGCACAAAGGGCTCCTCCATGAACCAGTCCGGGGCCAGGCCGGCTGACTTTACTTAGGGAAGCCTACCAGTGCAAAACTCCACCATGCTTAGAGCTTCCCACTGGCTCTAAGCTAATACGGATCACTGGCTATTTGGAGGGAAGAAAAACAAAAACAAAAACCCTCCAAATCTTAAGGATATTGTTTTTAGTCGCTAAAACTCAGCCAAACTGCTTATCCTGGGATACGGGATAGGTATGGGGATACATGAGAAGGTAGAGTAAGGATACTTTCACATACTGCCTGAAACTGGTGGGAGAGGCAGTGATGATTCCACAAAGAAGGATAAACCAAGGGAAGGAGAGGGTGGGGGAGAGAGAAAGGGAGTGTAGGCAGAAAGGAGACAGAAGCCCAAGGCAGGAGAGGAAGGTCCCAACCCAGCGGCAGGGCAGCGGATGGGAACGGGAGCCAGGGAGCCTGAGATGGAGTCGCCGGGGAAAGTGGCACTGGGGGAGCTTCTGATCTGTTTGTTCATTTGAAGAAATAGTAGTCAGAGAGGTCATGTGGTTCTTTTGTGCAGTTTGGGAAGCATGAGTGATGGGGGACATGGAGTAAACACAGGACAGTTACTAACTGCAGAAGGGACATCAGCAGATTGTTCAGAAAATGAAATATAATCATTATATACTACTTGGCTAAATCCCACATAAGATTTATAAGGCCATAGTAAGGAAACAAAATATTAATCTATCTAAAAATGGTGCTATAATTATTTTGAGAGGACAGAGGGGACGGCAGGGTAGGAAGAAGGTCGGTGTGGTATCAAATCCTCACAGGCTATAATTAGAAGTCGATATATAATGTCTAAAACTGATTAACCATGAAATAGTCACACATGCCTATTATTTGGGAACATGAAGGTAGACCCCAGAAGAAAACAACCAAGAGCAGTAAGAAGTGTTTGCTTCTGGGGAGTGGCTCAGGAGGATGGTGAGGAATGGGGTAGGAAATTGTTCTTTCACTTTTAAAACCATATATACTGTCTTGACAGGAAAAAATGTTAAGAATGAATGGGAGGGTAAGAAGTAGAGATAGAGAATGTAGACATCTTTTCCAAGAAGTTTACCAGTAAAGGAAAAGACGTAATATCTGATACTTACATAGTCTTAATACTCAGTATACGTCTAAGTACTTCATGTGTATGAACTAATATAATCCTCCTGTCAAGCCTAGGAAGTAGGTACTGTTACTCTCCAAGTTTTCCAGATAAGGAAATGAATCCGATCCTCAGAGCTAGGACAAGGCTGAGCTGGGATTTGAACCCAGGCTGGATGGCACCAGAGCCCACGTTCTTCACGCGGTGGGCAGAAGAGAGGGAAGGGTTGAGAAAGGGTTTATTTGTTTTTGGTTTTCATCTGTAGCAGCAAAGACATAAGAAGATCAGGCCAAGGACATGGCTAATGAGGCTGGTCCGATGTTGGACTCTGGCCAGACAGTTGCTGTGGAAGGAAAAGAAAACCCACGAAGAAGCTTGAGAGAGTAAACAAGAGGGTGATGGAGAGCTGAGCTGTGGGATCTGAGCTGTTATTAGAGAGGAGCTACGGGGGCACCTGGGTGGCTCAGTGGGTTAAAACCTCTGCCTTGGGCTCGGGTCATGGTCTGGGGTCGAGCCCCGCATCGGGCTCTCTGCTCCCCGGGGAGCCTGCTTCCCCCTCTCTCTCTGCCTACTTGTGATCTCTGTGTGTCAAATAAATAAAATCTTAAAAAAAAAAAAAAAAAAAAAAAGAGAGAGGAGCTGGGCAGCGCCCAAGGAGATGAAGGAAGAGATCAAGAAGGGAGTGAGGAAAGCAGAGAGATGAGATGTCCTTGTGCTCAGAGAAGGTGGGTGGGACATTGGCTTAGAAGACTTGCCAGGTGGAATGAAAGACCATTCACACGTGCACACATCTATGCCCAGGGAGAGGTCGGGATCAGTATTTCCCAACATGTTATCAAGAAGTGGGGGAACTTCTTTGTTGTGGTTTTGCTCAGCGACTCCTCTGATTGTTCGTCAGCTAACGTGCATTGCTTATCTGATGAAACCCACAAAGAGAGTTTCTAAGCTGTTTGGAAGTGAGGCAGTGCTGGATAATGACGTGGCCTGGGGTGTGGTCATGAAGTGGGTGCTGAGGTCGGGAGGTAAACAGTATGAGGTCACGATGACATGGGATAGCTGTCCTCTGGGTGCCATGTGATAGTGGATGACGGGGGTTGGTGCATTTCCGTGAGCGAACTGGAGTGGGGCTAAGCGGGAGGCCCACAGACACACGGCCTGGAAGGACGGAAGGTGGTGTCAAGGGTTGAGCTTTGCCTCCCGTCTTCCTTCCATGTAGCTGTCCACCACCCTGGAAGGTGGAGATGCTGGTCTCCACCTCACCTGTTGGAACGGATCAGTAGGAAGAAGTGCTTTAGAAAGAACGGTGTCTCCGTGCCCCCTAATTTTCCACCATCCCCCAACTGAGGAATTCTTCCATGGCAGTCATTCGCATTTTTCTTAAACTTTGTTTTGAGATAACTGTGGATTCCCAGGGAACTGCAAAGCAGTGCCCAGGGGAGTCTCGTGCACACTTCTCCCCGCATGAATGTCTGAAACAATTCCAGCCCAGTAGCAAAACCAGTGAAAGGACATGGCTATGGTCCGTGAAGGATACTCAGACACACACTCCTGTTTGTATGAGTGTGTGTGTGTCGGGGAGGGGGCGGGGCTCCCTCACAGGTTTGCCACACCTGGAGCCTTGGGTACCCACCACTGCCACCAAGACCCAGGCCACCCCAGCCTCACTAGACTCCGTCGTGTCACTCGTTGGTGGCCGTGCCCATGCCCTCAGCCCCATCCCTCGTGCCTGGCAGCAACTCACCTGGCCGCCAGCTCCACGCTGGTATCATTCATGAGGATCACGCAGCGGAAGTCGCGCTCTGCGTATCCTTGTGAGACAGGCTTTTTTTCCATTCAGCACCATTTCCTCCAAGTGTATTCCATTGACTAGTTTTTTAGAAATTTGTACTGCCTTCTCTATGAAACACGTTCATTTCTCCCCTGCCTTTGGGCCATCTCCCCTCCTGGAACATACCACTGCCCACAGCACTCTCGACCGGGCCGTGTTCATCCCCTTCTCCGGAGGCTCTCCCTGCCCCGTGCCTAGAGCCTCTCTGTTTTAGCATCAGTTATGTCCTCCTCACACCATCTCATTCTCCCCTTGCAGGTAGAAGGCAGAGATCATGTCCAACTTACCTTTCTATCCCCAGCATCTAGTACAGTGCCTGAAATGTAGGAGGTACTCAGTAAATTCTTCTTTGGATGAATGAACGGTTGAAGCTGCCCTGTTTGGTTCTTACGTTGTGTCTTGAATATGTGATCTTCCCAATGAGACGCTAAACGAGACTTTCAGCCCCTTGAAATCAGCCACAACATCCCATTCACTCGCCTGCACTGGGTCCCGGTTAGGGCTGCGTTGGGTATCTGTATGTGGGTTCAGTGAGTATGTGCCTTTGTGTGTGTTGGGAGGAAGTGAGGGCGTAAGTGTTGATGGGGCTGGTTTCTCAGCTGCCCAGCCTGACTTCCCACAGTCAGCAGGACGGACCTGGAGATGTCGGGGCTGAAGACGCTAGAGCACGTGGCAGTGACAGTCTCCATCACTCACCCACGCCGTGGCAGCTTGGAACTGAAACTGTTTTGCCCCAGTGGCATGATGTCCCTTATCGGCGCGCCCCGCAGCATGGACTCGTACGTATGCCTGCCTGCACCTTCTGAGTTTTTTTTGGCAATGAGGGTCTTTGCGAGGAAAAGATAGAGAAAAAGCAGACACAGACACCGTCCTCTGCTGTCATGGCACTGGCTGACTGTGGCGGCGGGAAGCCATTTCCTACCTGCTTCGTAGAGGTCACTTACAATGTGCTAAGCACTGCACTTGACAAATACTTCCTCTAATGCTTACAAGAACGATGCAGAGGAGACTTTACCCTCTTTTTACAAATGAGGAAACAAGTCACAAACTAGTAAGTGCCTCAGGAAGTAACAGTAAGCCTAGATCTGTCGAGCTCCCCGGCCTGTGCTCTCTCCACATCTGCTTTTCCCACTAGCACGTGCTGACAAGTCCCTCAACTCGTGGGATCTCCGGGGAAGGGACAGCACTTGGGGACCCCTCATGGTGTGCTCCCCAGTAGCTGGAGCTCTGGCCACAACAGCTATGTTCTGATGGCTCCTACAGTTAGAAATCATGTTTGTGGCAGAGGGTCGGTTCCCTGCCCCATGTCTTCTGGGTTTTCTACTCTTTTCTTCCCCGCAGAGACCCAAATGGCTTCAATGATTGGACCTTCTCCACTGTGCGGTGCTGGGGGGAAAGAGCGAAGGGGATTTACAGACTTGTGATCAGGGATGTAGGTAAGCCTGCCCCCCACCCTATGTCCCCCCACCATCTGGTCCCTCTGGAGCTCAGAGTCCCTGCAGAAACCGCCCCATGGAGAATACTGCCATCGGACCGACAGGGTAGATGCCAAGAAATACACCCCATCTAGAACATGGGCCCTGAGATCTGAGACTGTTCATTGATCCTACCTCTCATGTTCCTTGGAGAAGTGACTGATCCATTTTTCCTCAGGATAGCAACAAAAATTCCTTGTTGAAACCACATTTCAAGTCCTTTCACATATAACCATCCTTCGACCAGCCCTGGTAGGCAGGTAAGGGCAGGACTAATTTTCACCATTTTTTTTTTTTTTGGTTTTTTTTTTTCCTTTGTTTTTTTAACTGAGGCCCACCCAAGGTCTGAAGTGACTGGCGCAAGTCATACACTATTCCAGTGAGGAGAGTGACAACCAAACCCAACTCTCCTGGCTTCCTGCCAAGTTAGGTATTCACTAGACTGCTGGTTTTCAAACCTTGCTTTAATTTAGTAGAAGGACATTTTTTTTTTCCCAAGCAAAATCCCAGCTGAAACCCTAAAATGTGAACGAGAGAAAGGCAGACGTCTTTGCTTCGGAACCACACCTTTCGGCCTCGCTGTCTCCGTCCCTGAGGGCCCCCGCGAAGTACCTCTGTAGAACCCCTGGGCAGTGGACCGTGTGGCCGAGTCCCCCCAGGGGCTGGGGCGGGGGGGGCTGGGCAGGGCCTCTGCTGTTTGCGCAGCCAGTGAGGGGGCCGGGCTCACGGACTGCCCCGCTTGCGGCTCTAGGAGACGAGACGCTCCAGGCTGGCGTCCTCCGGCAGTGGCAGCTGACCCTCTACGGCTCTGTGTGGAGTCCAGTGGACATCAGGGACAGGCAAAGGTGGGTGCCGGACTCAGGTGCCGGGGGGAGGCAGCTCCTGGGGCCGGGAGAAGCCATGCAGGGAGCTCCACTGCCCTGAGACCCCTTCTTGCTGTGGGCCTTCCTCCCTCCCCAGCTGTGAGGTGGGAGAACCAGTGAGGGCAAGGGGTCAGGGAATGAAGTTCAGGAGGGCGTCCTCCTCTCTTTTCTTCTGCACAGACTATTAGAAAGTGCCATGAGTGGAAAATACCTGCATGACGGCTTCACTCTGCCCTGCCCTCCTGGGCTGAAAATCCCCGAGGAAAATGGTTACACCATCACCCCTAACACCCTCAAGGTATGAGGGCTCAGCCTCCAGCTCCAGGCAGGCGGGCGGGCAAGAGTGTCCTGGGGGGTCTGGACCTTGCTTCACTCTGCCCTGCCCTCCTGGGCTGAAAATCCCCGAGGAAAACGGTTACACCATCACCCCTAATACCCTCAAGATACGAGGGCTCAGCCTCCAGCTCCAGGCAGGCAGGCGGGCAAGAGTGTCCTGGGGGGTCTGGACCTTGCTGGACCTGGACTCAGGTGACTTGAGAAGTGACGGGTTGCAAGGAGCTGGCTGGGCCCCCACTCAACTACTAGCTCTAAGAGGGAGCTCCTTGGGGCAAGTGCTTTGGGGTGGGAGAGGCAGTCCCGAAGGTGACAGATTTTCTGAGCTCATTGTTCTGGGTTGAGAAAAGCCACAGGATTTGGGAAACCATCCCTAACTTGGGTGCTTGACTCTTCCCCAGACTCTGGTGCTGGTAGGCAGTTTTACCATCTTCTGGACCGTGTACTACATGCTGGAAATCTATCTGAGCCAGAGGAATGTGGCCTCTCACCGAGTTGGCAGGAGTGGACCCTGCCACTGGCCCCAACGAAGCCAAAAAGCCAGGGAAGAGGGGACAGAGCTAGAATCAGTGCCACTTTGCAACAGCAAGGATCCAGATGGAGTGGAGACAGAAAGTGAGGGCCCTCCCACCACCTCTGATCTCCTTGCCCCAGACCTGCTGGATCCAGGGGCCTGGGGCCTATCCCAGGACAGGAGTACCCTGAACTGCCCTCATCGTCACTTAGCCCCAGACCTGCTGCAGGGGAAGGAGGAACAGATTTGCTGACCCAAGGCCCAACAGGCTCAACATGGGACAGGCTCTTCCTTCCCAAAGCTGGGGAAGCTTGGAAGCCTGCTCTGAAGTCTCAGGAGCCCAGGAGAGAAGGCGGCCTGATGCTCCCATCAGGAATCCACAGGCTGGAGAGCACCCTCTGACTACGTTCAGGGCGGCCGAGGGCCTTCTTAAGGTGCAGCGACAGAGGAATCGTGTTGTGCCGTGTGAACAGTGTGGCCACAGGCGCTGGGTCTTCCTCCGACTGGACGGGAGCTTCCGGTCAGAAGGTCTTGACCAAGGGCTTGACCAAGGCCTTGCCCCATGGGGCAGGCCTGTCTCCTCTTTTCTCCTGGGCAAGCCGGTGATGTGGGTCACAGGGACCCTCACCCATGCGTGGGTGGGGCGGCGGCTGCTATGGCCAGAGGAGCCTCTCCGCAGAAACGTCCCCGGGGTCATGGGGGAATAGGGCTCAGGGTGAAGGCTGGGAAGAGCCCGTGGGTATATGCCTATCCTTTTAATGACCCAGGACCTAGAAAGAGCAATCTTTTCCTGTCCTTCCCTCCCCTTCCTGCCTCTACCTGGAGCCTAGGACCTACTGGTATGATAGTTAGCCCTCGGCCCAGCACACTCACCCTGAAAGCCGCTGCCTCCTTAAGCCCTGATCAGAAGCCAACCTTGAACACAGCCCTGACTCCACCATCGCCCCCCACCCTCCACCCTGAGGGATCCGTAGGAGGCTCCTGGCAAGGCCAGGAGGTTGGGCACGGCTCCCCAGGGCCTGCGAGGCGGGTCTGCAGCAGTACAACAGGGGTCTGCCACTGCCACTCCAGCCCTGCGAATGCCCTGTCTTCCTCTGCAAAGCGCTCAGGGAAATGGCCTCACCCCTGGAGGCCAGCTGTCTGCCTGACCTGCTAGGACTCCTCCCGGCCTTGGCCTCCTCCCCTCTTCTGAGCTAGTTGGTTGATCTAAATTTTTTTTTTAATGCTTAAGATTTGGGTTTCTCTTTTCACAGCAACATTTGGTTGAATGTTTTTCTGCACAGCTTTTCCAAAATAAAAACCTTCCACGCAACTCTGCCGCTCCCCATCCCTTTTCATCTGCTCCCAGAGCTCATGAATGTCGCTCCTCTTGGCCTTCGGTCCCCGGTCCCTGAGATTCACTCCTCCTCTGCCTGGGCCTCTGAAGGAAGCTGACCCCCCTGGGATCCTTGAATTGGGGGGTTCCTTCAGAGCTGACAGCCAGGAAAATGTTAATGTTCCCTGCCTCTTGCCTGCTCATAGCTCTTGGAACCAGAAGTGACTAGGGCAAATCAAACTCTGCCAGCCAGGCCTGAGAAAAGATTGATGTATATATTTGTTTCTTTTTTGAATTTCAACCTCCAAAATATTCCAGCAAAAAAAACAGGAGTTTGGGCTGGGTTTCCTTCAACGGGAATCTGCGGCCAAGGAGGATGGTGGACTTGCCCCTACCAGCCGCCCCCGGCCCATGTCCCCCCTCCATTGCCCGGCCCAGGGTGGCGAGAGATGGTGGGAGACGGTAGGGGAGCTGGGAGGAGGGTTAGGGGAGTGGTGCTTTGGGGTAAGAAGTTGGGCTGAGGCTGAGGGGTGGGGGAGAGCTGCCCAAGTGTGGTCACCTTTGCTCAGTGACGGAGCCTCGAAGCTTGGCCGGGGCTGAAGGAACTACACGGTGTGGGTGAGCAGGCTAGGCAGGATGGCTGCGGCCAGCGAGCTGGGGAAGGGCAGGGCTGGGGGCTGGCCCACTCCCTCTAACTGATGATCTGCCGAGGTCGTCCGTAGCCCGTCATGCCAGCCTGGGAGGCCCCTCTGTTGCTACCCATCTGTAGGCCAATGACATGCTTGCCCTCCTGCAGTTGGCTCTCTGTGAATTCCCTCTTATGCTCCTGGGCTTTCCTAGAAGCGGGAAAACCAGGATAGAGACTCACCAGGACTGCACATTCTCCACCGGAGTTCTATTTCTTCTGTCAATCCTAGCCTCATCCCACGTCCCCTATCTCACTTCTCTTGTTTCCTTCACCTTGCATGTCCCACGGGCCGTGGACACTGGCAAGCAGCAGGGACCCATCTTCCCCTTAGCCTAGACCTTCACTTTGTACCTTCCCAGCTATCTGCTGCCCCAGGTTAGCCCAGGCCACCTCCCATCTCACACAGAGATACATGCTTAGCGCACAAAGAACCCTGGTGGCCACGTACTTCATGAACCAGTTGGGGTCTCCACGGTAGTGCCCATCATTCTTGGTCACCGCCAAGCTGCCCAGGGCCATCAGGGTCCTCTGCACTGCCGCCAAGTCTTTGCCTGCGAGAATAAAGAAAGGAAGGGGGTGGTGAACTTCAGGTCCACGTCCACAGGACTCCACAGCAGGGCCTGACCCCCCACCCCGCCCAGAAAACTGGTCAACCTGGGGGGATGAGGAGGCTGCAGCAGATCTTACGATGCCCTCGAGTGTGGCTGGCACTCTCTCGGCACGTCCCATTCCCACTCTGCAGATGTGTGGTGGCATGCTTGGACCACGCCTTGTCCCCTCTGTCTCAGCTTCCTGTCCCCCACCTGCCGCCTCCACCCTTCTTCTCTTCGTACCTTCAAAGAGGTCAACAGTCTGGAACATGTCAGTCTTGGTGACCCCGTAGTCCTCCGCCGCCTTCAGGAACTGAGCCACCTGCTCCATCTGCTTGAAGACCATGGAAGGAGGGTTGTCGGGCACCTTCACTGGCTTGGAGCCGTCGGGATACAGGCTGTTAACCAGCTTGCTCAGAATCTGCCAGGCACAGAACGCAGCTTGGCACTCCGCTCGGGGTGCCTGCTCCACAAGCCCAGCAGGATGGCGAAGCCCCAGCACCCCCTTCCCGGGGTGCCACTCACCACGCCGTTCTTCAGCCAGACCTGGAAGCCCAGGCGCCCGCGGTCCGGGCGCCCCACGTCGGGGCCGCACTGCACTATGATCCACTCCACCAGCCTCTCCTCCAGCTCCTCGTCGTACTTCTTCTCGATTTTGGATTGTACTTCGCGGCTCATGCCATAGGAAGGACCCTTGTTGGCCATGTTGTGAGAGAGCTAAAGCAGTGCGGCCAGAGAAGGGAGGCCAGAGGGTCAGAGAACAGCTAGGCTCTCGCTTGTGCTAAGCAGGCCTTGGAGATCCAGGGGGGTGGAGGGGGCGGTGCCCATCCGTCCTAGACATTGATTTACCTCCCCTGGTTTCCTCATTTTGTTTTCGTGGCACTGCCCATCATCCTCTCCATCCAGGGAGCCTCTCTGAACTTAGGGACCAGAGAAACAGGACACCAGATCTTTGGAAGTCCGGAGCAAGGATAGTAAACTGACTTTGTGACAACCAGACAGTGGCAGGCATCTTAGGCTGTGCAGCACATATGGTCTCTGCCACTGCAGCGTGAAAGCAGCCTCAGACAATACGTAAACAAGGGAGCATGGCTTTGAGCCAATAAAACTTGACAAACAGCAGGGCTGCATTTGGCATACGGGCCAGAGTTTGACAACCGCTGCTCTAGAGCCTTCTTTCTTTGCCAAGACTGGCCACAGAAGCACTGGAGGCCACAGAGGAGGCCACACCACCCCCTCCCCTGGCACCAAAAGAGAGCAGCAGGTTTCCTTGTCCAGGTAGGCGTGAGGGGGGTTGCTGGTTCCACCTGAAGTTACAGTTACCTTCTCCCTCCGCTTTAGCCTCTAGCCCCAAAGCTGGAATCGCAGAACACCTGCTCTTTGCCGGCTCAGCTTGGCCTCCGGCCTGTAGCTGCCAAAGAGGCTCCAGGTTACCCACCCCTGGCAAGGCCTAGGAAGCCAGCAGAACCCACGAGCCTTTGGCCAAGAAGCCGCACTTCCTCAGGTGGCCCAGGAGAGAGAGAAAAAACTGACAGACCCACGGACTTCCCCTTGTGCCCTGGGCTCCCGCCACCCTCGTAGCTGAGCAATGAGGAGCCAGAGCCCTCCAGGGACCCCCCAGAGCCAAGAATCTGCCAGCCAGAACACGGGGAGCCCCTCCCTGTGTAGACCAGCCGCCAGCTGCTGCCCTGAGGCCTGGGGCTGGCCCTGCTCGGCAGAGCCTCGTAGTGTGGGGGAAAGTCTGCAAGAGCAGGGCCTGCAAGGTGGCTGGTCCAAGGAACCCGACCTGGCTGCAGGGGTCACCCAGGGGTGGTGCTCAGAGCTCCCTGGGAGAGCCCTCCCTCTGAGAAAGGTACCAAATGAGGCCAGACCCATCGCCTAGCCTCCGAGAAGTCGGAGGTTGGGAGGGAGAGAATGGGCTGAGGAAGCGGGTAGTCAGCACGCTACCCCGACTCCCTCTCTGGCCAGAGTCAGACCTCCCCACTCCCCGCCACAGTGGACAGCCAGTGAAAGTCCTCGCTCAACTGCCCCACCCTTCTTCCCCTCCAGCTGACAACTTTCCTGTGTTCAACTCCCCATCTGTGCCCTGGGGGTGGGGGGGGCAAGGGGATCTCTCTCAGAGGGTTCCGCCTTCACTGAGCCACTGTTTTGTTAAGTTGCCTCCTGGTGATGACCTGGGAGAGCCCGCCCCTGACCCAGGGACAAAAACTGTTCTTCCCACGCTGCCCTTCACTCCTTTTCCAAGTCATCCCCTGAGGGGACAGCAAAGGTGGAGACAAAGAACTTGAGATGGACTCATCTAAACTCTCCCTTCTCTCAGGATGTGTAAAGCCACAGAGGGCTGGGCCACCTCTGAGCACCACCACCCCTCCCCTGCCAGCTGACACCCAGAGAATCCCAAAGCAGTCTCTGCTCTGTTTCCCTATAAACGGCCCAGCCCCTTCCTTCACCTGCTTCCCTGCTTCCCAACCCGGGGGTGGGGGGGGTGGGGGTGGTGGTGCAAAGACTAGTGGTCAAAACCCATGAGTCAGCTGGGACCAGGTACCTTGGACCCACCTTTCATCCCGACCCCGGCTCAGCCTTCATCCCACCAGCCCAGGCAGGCAACATGCATCCCTGTGGTCCAGGCACCCACCACCTTCCACAAGCCTGCCCCCCCTGCCCACACTCTCCAACCGACCTGGCCTCCCATCTGCCCTCCCTCCCAGACAGTGGGCTGGGCCTGTGAAGAACAGGCCAAGGCAGAGTGCTCCCCACCCCCAGCAGCTTCCAGTCTAGGAGATTCAGAGCAGACAGTAATATCGAGGCCCACCGTGACAAGGACGCAAAGTTGCAGCCCGTAGATCTAGAGACAATATTTGGATTTTGAGCAGAACAGGGAGGGGGATGAAAGGCACCCCACCCACCCCACCCTTCTCCCTTCTGGTGAAGACTCTGAAAGTGGAGAGTTCCAAGAAATCCCTCTCAGTCCTCCAACCAAGTCCTCCAACCAGTCCCATCTAGATGTGCTGCTGGGAAGTGGAGAGGGAGAGGGTTGCCAGCCAAATCACCCAGGAGCCTTTCTTGATAAAGCTTCCTGGGACAGGACAGGCAGGACAGCCCCTGTCCTGTGGCTCTTGTCAGCTCCCCGCCGCCCCCCAGAGAAAGAATAAAGTCCAGCTGTAAAGGGACAGCGTGTACCTGCTACCAGCAGGAACCCACAGCTACTAGCAGAACCAAGGGTCTCTGCAGGACCGCCGGGCCCCCGCTCTCTCGGAAGACAGGAGCAAGCCTCTGGTCCTCTCTGACTTGGCCAGAGGTCGGGATTATCTCAGTTCTGGCAGGAGAGAAGTGCGGCCCTATTCACTGCTACCCTTTGGATAGCAACCACTGAGGGGAAGCGGCCAGATCCTTCGGGAAGGGCCCAGGGTCCCAGGCCCACCCAGGCCAACACTGCAAAACTCCCGCAGGACCCATCCCTTACCCCTCTGCCTGCAGCGGGGCCACCTCCCATTTTCAGAGGATGGAAGGAGCCATGTGTCCAGAAAAGCCCCTCTTGTGCCCTTGCGCACCTGCCTGCGGCCCTCCCCGCTGCCTCAGTGGCTCCCCGGAGCTTCTCCTTTGCTGCTCAGGCCCTGGGTACCCACCCACGGGCCCTTGCTCTCCAGCACTGGAGAACTTGCCCAGCTTCCCACCCCCTTGCACAGCCTCCTGGATGGACACCAAACACAGCCTTGTGTCTAACCCAACACCTCGAGCCCATCACACACCCCATGGGCATGACGAGGGCTGAACACCGGAGCCCCCTGCCGCACCCCAGGCATCAGGGTCTTTACCATCAGTCCCTCTGCAGCAGCCAAGTCATCCTCAACATTTCCACCTGCCCCGGGCTCCCCAGTCTGAGCAAGATGGGATCTGGCAGGCTCATCCCCGCCATCAAATAGGACCACCTCCCCACCTGGAGATCAGGAATGCACGCTAACAGAGAGGGTGGCCTTCTCCACCCAGGAAGCTGGAGACCAGGACCCCCGAAGGCCCTGTCCCCAGGACCCCTACTGCTACCGTCAAGCCCTAGCCTGTCTGCCTTCCAACCCAGGGATACATGCACTTACAGGGGTTCCTCGGGCTCGCAGGAGGGAAGGAGCACTCCGTGTCTGAACTTGGACAGACAGGATGGGGCGCTGGCTGAGTGGGGGGTTTAAAGGGCTGCTGCCGGGGTGATGTCAGCCTCCCCCGCTGGCTCACCCCTCGGCCCCCTCCCTGCTAGAAGAACCCAGCCTGTTCCCCACCCCCGGCCCCCCCAGTGACTCCACACAGGCTCCATATTTGGGGAAAGACACCAAGTTGGAGCAGTCTGCCGGGGGCTGCCCGAGACATTCTCTGCGTGCTTTGGAGATGGAGCGGGCGGGGCGGAGCTGAGGGGCTGGCTGGGAAGCCGCCGCCGGGAAAAGCCTTTTATGGGCAGGACCGTGAAGGCCTCCCCTGCTCTCTGGACTTAGCGCTGCTCCTTCCTCACTGCTCCCTGCCCCTAAGTTTGAGGCCGCAGGGGAATTCAAGAGGGTCTGGCCAGAGAGAGGGGGAAAGAGCTGGGGGGATCGGACTAACCAACCACCCTGCCCTCCTGGGGGTTTCGCTCCAGTTGGAGATAGAAACTAAACTTTACTGAGAACCTACGACATGCCAGGGAAATGCTTTGCAAATGTTCTCATTTAATCCTCAGGGCTATATCGTGGGAGCGTAATTACTAACCTCATTTTCAGATAAATACCTTACTCAAGGCCACGTGGGTGGGGATGTCACGAGTGGCAGAAGCTGGGTGTCCCTGCTGGCCCCCGTGTGGGAGGGGAGAGGCTGGCAGACCCCCTCCTTCAGCCGTCCCACCCTGCCCAAGTTGAAAGCGTCCCGTTGTGGTGGGTCTGCAGTCCCCTGCTTTCGCTGGGGGCGGAATCAGTCGACCCTGGCCCCTAGCCAGAGGGTTTCTAAGGCCTGGCAGGGTTGAGACACCAGCGCTGGGTGGGAGGCTCCGAGGCTGCTATCCTTCCCTTCTTCCCGACCCTAGAGAACAGACTGGACTCCACCACTCCTGCAAGCAGACCCACTCATACCATGGCTTAGAGCTGGTCTCAGGGGTCTGGGGAAGGGGTACCCGAAGAAGGTGAGAGACTGCCAGTGGGGTCTCTTGGGCTGCCCGCTGTGAGACCACCCCACCCCTCTCCCTACGGTGGCCTGACAGGGAGGAGCTAACACTCTCTGCCACACCCTGGACACCCTCCAGGAGAGGCGCAGCTGCACTTGGCACTGGGCAGTGGGCGGTGGAGGGGACGCCCACCACAGCCAGCCTCCTAACGCCAGAGCCCAGGGACAGAGCTGGAGTGCCCCCCAGTGGCGGTTGCTGGGAAGAGCAGGGAGGGGATCAGCTAGAGGGAGGCGGACCTCGGACCTCTGGTTAGGTCTGAATTCACCAGCTTCCTGGCCCCCCAAATCTTGGCCTCTTAGGCCTGTTTGGAACCTAAATCAACTTTCTAGGATTGTTTCCAAATTCCCTCTTCTGGGAGCCTGCCTGCCATCCACATGCACACTTACCCATCATACAATCACCACCTTGTGTTCCTTGGAGAACCAGCCCCGCCTCATTCTGCATTCTCCTGTCCGTTAAAGTCACAGTCAGGGAGCACTGGCTGCACCCACAGCCTGCCAGGCTGGGAGAGGCTCAGACTAGAAGGGAAGCTGGCCTGCCTTGCAGGTGAAGGGCCAGGTGGGCAGAGGCTGCTGCCATTTGCCAGGTAAGGCAGCAGCGGGGGTGAGGGAGAGCTGCGGATCTCAGTGGTGAGACGGCACCGCTAAGACTTCTTCACTCCACCATCCCCTCTGCCCAGCACAGTGCCTGGCACGGTGCAGGCCCCTGGTACATGTTTCCTGAACTGATGCAGTTGCTCAAAGGAGAGAAGAGACATGGGGGACTCAAGGACACATGGGGAAAACAAGGGGTACTCTACTTTCTTGAAAAGAGAACGGCAGACCAGAAGAGCTGGGAAACGGAAGACCTCTGTCCCACCCTCCCTCCAACACCTCCACTTGGAAAGGGGGAGCAAAGAGGGGCCTGAGAAGCATGTCTGGTTGTTTCTTTAATTGAATGCAGACTCGTTCATAGAAAACAGAAACGCAACTGTAGCATGGAAACAGACATTGAATGGAGTTCTGAAAAAAGATCCAGATCCACCTCCTCTCCCCAGTCCCAGGGAGAGCCATAAAAACAAGTTGGGCAAAATAAAACACACTCCCATCCCCAAGGCAGAGGCCCGACCTGACCTCCCCCAGCCTTGGCATCTGGAATGGACCAGGTAGGGTGATGGGGATCGAAGGACCACAGCAGCCAGGGGCCCAGAGCTGGGGCAACTCAGTGTAAACTCCTACACATACGTGTGTGTGTGACTAACACAAAACTGGGCCGAAGACAGGACGGAAACACGGAAGCCAGCCTGGGTCCCAGAGTGAGGCTGGACCGGGGACACCGAGGGGAACATGGTGTCCCTTCCTGAGCCTCCTTCTAAGATAGGCACTGGGGCTCCCATGGCTGTGAGGAGGCAGGAGGAGCTGGGCGCCTTGTATCCCCCTCCTTTGCTCCTGGACATTCTTGGGCAGCGTCAATGGCACTGAAAGGCCCCCAAATAGGGCTTGGCAGGACGGAGGGCTGGAAAGAAAAAGGAAGGGAAGGGGGGAACTGATCTCTCCCTCCAATCCTGGTGCCAACGTCAGTCTGGGGGCTGATGGGATAGGAAGTTGACCTCTGAATCCAACCCCTCAGATCAAAGTGACTCTTACACGTGGACTGATCCTTACTACTACAGAGCCAGTCCCAAGCACAGGTCAGAGGGAGGAGGCAGCACTGCCTGCAGCCCCTCTTAGGCCTTAGCACCGAAAGCCTGGCACCAGCTGGCCAGCCTCCAAAATCCTACACCCCCATTCCTCCTGACTGGAGCGGGCAGTGATGGCATTTGGGGACGGCCCCAAAAAGCAGTGAGGCCCTGGTGCAGGACAGAGAATCAGGCCCAACCAGGCCCTGGACTGGAGCTCGGGAAGAAGAAAGGGCTTAGGGTTGCAGGCTCCTGAGGAGGGGAAGGACGGGCAGAATGCAAGGCGTGAGATGGGCAGGGCAACAACACTCTCTCCTTCCTCCTGAAGAGGAACAAACAGAGAGCCAACGGACAGGGCCCATCAGAGGCCCTCAACACTGAAGCAGCAGCCATTGGCCAACATCTGGGGTGTTAGGGGAGCAGGCCTCCTCCCCAACAGAGGATAGCTGCAAGGCTCACGGCTCCCCGCAACGACCATCCCAGGCCAAGTTTGGGCCAGACCTTGTGGGCCCACCACCACCCGCGCTGGGCCGCAGGGTGAAGACTTACACCCCCAGAGCTACAGAGGCTCTAGGCAGTGAGGCAGAGGAGCTCGGGGGGCCTCCCCCCCCCGTGAGTAAAGCAAGGGGCCTGGCTCCCGCTAGAAGACGTAGATCTTATCCCGCTGCACGGTGTCAAGGTCGTCGTCCAGCGTCAGCAACACCTGTGGGGGAGGACGGCGAGTCAGGCACAGGCCACGGGGCAACCTTGGCCTCTACCCCACCCCCGTGCTGGGGCAGGACAGCCTCACAGACCAGGAATGACCCAAACATGGCAATGGAGGAGAGGAAGTGCCAGATGTCGTGGTCGTCAAAGAAGTCGAGGAGGATGCAGTCACGGTTGTGCTCCCGGGACTCGGCGGGCGTTTTCTGGGGAGGAACAGGGAGAGCTGCCTGGGGCGCATCCACCCAGGCCGGACCAGACCCGCCTGTGGCTCCCCGTGGCCAAGCTGCGGCCCGTGCCAGGCTCGAGTGCACCATCCTCCCGACTCACCCTTGCCCTCGTCTCCCACAGCTAAGAATGGGCTTTTTGTGACAGATTTCTCCCGGAGGATGCTGGCTTCTGCCCTTTCCTTTCACTTAGACTCTCCTCCCTCCTAGTCTCCTGCCCTATCTACGAGCAGCCGGTTGAGTTACCTGGAGACGCTAGAAGACCTTGAAAGCCTCCCACCTCGGGTCCCGGCCTTGGCCTCTGCCCCTGCTCTCATCAGCAACTCTGGGCTCCTTGTTCTCCAGAGCCTTACCGGCAGGCCACATTGTACCCTGCCCTGCCCAGGACAGGAGCCAGGACTGTGGGCCCCGACCTGCGGCACTCTGGGTCCTCCCTGCTTGCCATAACCCTATCCAACTAACCCTGACCGGACATCACTGCGACTAGCGGCCGTCCGTACCACATGCTGAGGCCACTGAGACGACAACCATCCTGCCCTCGGGACTTCAGTTTTCACTCAACCCCCACATTCATGCTTTCTCTGACCCCAAATCTGCCTCGTCTAGTTCTGCCTCTTGTCATGAGTCTGGTCACAGCATCGCTGGGCCACAGGGCCCTTTCTCATCACCCAAGGCCTTGTGAAGTCCATGAGCGAGGTCTGCCTCTGCAAGGAAGCTTTCCTGGACCTCCTAACTCTGTCCTCTGTTTTCGTGTCCATCCCTCTCCCGTCCTTGCCTATCCGCTTCAGCTGGTGTATCATATTGCAAAGAGCCATCCAGGAACCGATGGTCTCTCTGTTCTGAACTAGATTCTAAGTACTTCAAAGGCAGAGACCCAGCCAGACTTGGTTCTGACCACAGACCCGAAACCTGATTCATGGCAGGTGCCTGCGAGGCCAGAGGGGAGAGCCTGGCACTTCCGGCTTCAAAACCCAGCTGTGCCACTCATCGGCTGTGTGACCTTGGGCAGGTCCCTTGGTCTCTCTGAACCTCAGCGGCCTCCTAGGTAAAACGGGGGTGGGGGGGGGGAGCCCCATGCTGGCGTGTTGACCATCAGGAGGGTTAAGTGAAAAGGCGGCTGTGAAGGGGCGGGGTTAGTGCTCACAAACGATGTTTGTGAAGAGAAGGGGCCCTGGGTGGGCTCACAGGGAGCCTGCGGGCGAGCCCCACCCTCTCAGCGGGTCGCTCCTCACCTGCCAGGTGCTGAGTCCCTGGAAGAAGAAGAAGAGCGCGAAGCCCCACACCACGGAGGTGCACACGATGCAGAGCAGCGGGATGAGCTTGATCCGCTCCCCGCTGCGGAGCTGCGAGAGGGAAGAGCAGCCTGAGGGCCAGACCCTGGCCCGGCCCATTCCCACCTCCTTCGTGCCACTTCTTAGCACACAGGATGGATCCTTCGGGAAGCCTTCCTAGATTCGCGCCCTCACCTTGCGTAGCTACACAGTGAACGTGTCCCACACCAGCAGCCTGGGGTCCTCACCCCATGTCCACCCTAGCTAGGCCCATGCGCAGAGCCCCGTGCTGGCGGGGCGCGTTGGCCGGGGGCTCTCCTGGTGCAGAGGCTCCTCTCACACCAGCCGTCGGAGGCGCCCGCCTGTGCAGACCTGGTGACCCCCGGCTCAGAAGCCCCCTGCAATCCACAGGGCTCTTGCCAACCACAGGGCCAGTCCTGGAGGAGGGAAGTCTCTGGATACAGCTGGGGTACATGCAGGAGACTTTAACCTCTCCCCTCCTCAGATCTCATGGAAGAGTTGAAGGAAAAATTCCCCCTCTCAGTGCTACCGGAAGCAGGCTGTGCCCGGCTCTGTCCCACAAAGGCAGGGCACCTGGCGGCAGAGGCCGAGCACCACTCACCTTCATGATAATGTAGAAGGCGAAGTAGAGAAGCAGGTTGCAGATGCCAATGGCCAACAAGTAGGAGGCGAAATCATTGGGGCGCATGATGAGCCCATAGGCAGCTCTGGCAAAGGGAGGGAGAGCTGGTGAGGCAGGGGAGGGCAAGAGCAGGGAAAGGGCTCTCCCTCACCCCTACCCCACATTTTATGATGACGTGAGGCTGGGTTCAGAGGTGCCAACATCTCTCTCCTCAGCCCCCGTTTCTCATGCCCAAAGCTGAGACTTTGTTCGTGGCCCCCAAGACAGCCAGTGGCTGGCCCAGTCCCCAGCTGTCCGCCCAGCCAGGCTACCACAGGCAATGGTCAGACTCACAGTGACCAGTTGATAATGTTGCCCATAACCAGCAGCACCATGCGGTCCTGGAGGGAAGCAGAGACACGGGGACTGAGATGGGGGAAGAGAGGGAGAAAAGTGGAAGAAGGCCCAAGTCAGCCGGTGCCCACCCTCCCCTGGGCTGTCAGTGGTACCCTGCCCCCCACCCCAGAGGGAAGAGAGAGGACAGAAGAGATTGAGGAGGGCTGGGGAGGGGCCGGTACCACATAGAGGGGCCCACTGCACTGCCGGATGCAGTCTGTGTAGAGCACGTGGAGGATGCGGCGGCAGATCCCCGAGTCTGCAAGAAGGGACAGTGCTGACGGGCACAGGCACTGCTCTCTCCCGGCCCCTGGCCCGCGCCCGCAGAGAGAACCCCAGGCCTTCGGACGGCATGGCTGTGCCAACCCTCATCCAACTCCTCACACGGTGATTCTTCCAGGGCCCCCAGCAAGAGGGCAGAACCCAAAGTCGGTAGTGAGTGCGGGTCCCCGAGGCCACCGACCCCTCCTTCCGGGGGCCCGGCTGTCCCGACCCCCACGCCCTGCCCGGGGCAGACCCTCACCCAGCTTCCAGCGGCCCATGTAGTAGAGTTGTGTGCTGAGGAGCAGGGTGGCGATGATGTGAATGACCGAGAAGACGACCCAGAACGCTGTGTTCCCTTTGCCGAAGACCTGCCCGGGGCCGCCGCGGCAGGGCTGAGGAGGCGCCAAGGAGAGCCGCTCCCCCAGCCCACCCCTCCTCCGGAGCAGCGGGGCTGGGGCTCTCGGGGCAGGCCCAGGGAAGGCACCTCAGGGAAGGGATAGGGGGTGCGTGCGGGGTGGGTACCGCGGGCAGCGCCTCACCACGCCCAGCACGGAGAAGAAGATGACGATGGCCAGGCAGGCGTAGGCACTGTAGGCACTGGCGTTGATGTCCGGATGCCGCTTCTGGTACAGCTTCAGCATGCACAGCCCAGCAATCATGTACATGAACGACGTGTCTGGGTTGGGGGGCAGGAAAGTGAGCTACAAACACATCCACCAAACTTCAGCAGTGAACTCCCAGCCCAGACAGCCTGGGGGGCAGAGAAAGGCCCAACGCCTTCCCATGGCCACAGAGCAGGAGGGCAGCGGGCTCTAACGCCCGTCCCTTCAGTGTCCCTAGGACAGCACACTGCGGCCCCACTGGCTGGCATCCAGTCTGACCTCCCCTGAGGACAACTTAGCCTGAGCACCCTAAGATCAGGGGCCAGAGCTCAAGTATACTCCTTGTCTCCGCGTTTATCCATGTCTTTCCATAGAAAACACTCAACAAAGGAATGTGGTAGCACCCAGCTGCCTCTTTTCTACAAAACTAGGACGTGTGAGCCCACAGGAAGCCCAGCTCCGGAGTCTCCCACAGGGGCAGAGTGTTGGGGATCCCTGCCGGGGACCCGGGGATGGTGGAGGACCTCAGGCAGGTCCCTGCTCTAGGTGCAGCCAGGGAAGCAGGAGGCCCCACTCACCAAACTGGAAGTTGGTATAGTTGGGGCAGACGTGATAGCAGGCACTAAGCAGCCCCTCCATCATCAGCGCTGTGCCCATGGCGTAGAACAGGCCAAAGTGCTTTGGGATCCCACATTCCTGCGGGGAGAAGGGAAGGGAAAGAGAAGGTGAGGCAGGAAGAGGGAGGGGATAAGAGAAGGGGAAAGAGGGCCAGAGGGAGGGACCCAAAGAGGGCCAGCAGGAGAGAGGAACGGTGTGGCATGTGGTGGGGCATGTGGGCCAGGCCACGCCTGCTGGAAAGGGCCTGGAGGCGAGGCCTCAGCGGCAGGTGCTGTCTCACCAGGGCGTAGAGGTCGTTGCGCAGCAGGGCCCGGTTGTGGTTGATCTCCCGCTGCAGGATGATGAGCAGGAAGAGCAGCCCCAGCAGGATGTACCCCAGGTTGCTCAGGATGTTGTTGAAGGCGCTGGAAGGAGGGACGGGGGCGCATGGCCTCAGCCCTACCTGCGGCAGGCATTGGCGGAGCCCTCCCCGCCTCTCCCCCCACCCCCAATCCCTAGCTCACTCCCAAGGACCCCCACCTGAGGTTGCCCAGCGGGTGGGCGCAGAGGAAGTTGTAGTAGCAGATGTCCTGATTTCCAGTGACATTCACCACCTGCAGCAGGGCACGGCAGCGGGAGGGGCTGCTGAAACACCTGACTTGGCCCGGAGCCAGGCGAGAGGGAGCCAGGCCTAGGCCACACCAGGCAGTCCCACGTGGCAGGATGGCAAAGTGCCACACAAGCGGCTAGCTGGGCCAGCCCTCTCTGGCACAGTCCCCGCCCCTCACACTACGTGGAGCCCAAGATCATGGGGCATGACCATGACAGAGGGTCTTGCCTCACAGGCCAGAGAAAAGGGAAGAGAAACCAAGGCCTACAAAGTCCTATGATCCTAGTTGCGTAAGCCCCGCAACAAGCTGGGGAAGGTGCCGTCACCGTTACTGGACGGCCCCATTTTGCAGATGAGAACACTGAAGCTCCCTGAGCGCACTCCAGGTCACCCAGCCCGTGAGGCAGAGTCAGGACCTGAACCCAGGTCTTGTGAACTACGAATTGTGCGCACGCCAGAGCCCCAGGCTGGGACCCTCGGCAAGGGTGCTCCGCACGGGCCCAGGGGAGCCAGCCCGGCCTCTCACCGTCTGGTAGGTGATCACCAGCTGCACCACCGGAAGCGCATAAAAGACCGCAATGGTGGCGATGTTCCTGTGGGGTGGGGGACAGCGGTGAGGAGGCTGAACCCGAGACACAGCCACGCCACCCTGCCAGTAACAGGAAGCCTGGCCTACTCCACCCACTCACCAGAAGTAGATCTGGTACTTCTTCCGAAGGACGCGCTTGTCCTTGCGTGCCAGGTCGGCCACGTAGAGGTATTGCTGGGGAGAAGCTGCAGTGAGCCCCGCTTTCCCACTGCCCAGGAGACTGGAGAAGCCCCTCTTGCCCGGGTTAGAGGAGACAAGAGAATCCCACCGCCCCTCCCATAGGCCATAATTCTGCAGGACCGGGCTCAAGGCCACCTCACTGCTGTTGGCCGGTCAGTCTGGAAGGGCTGGGAACGGAGTCAGCCTCTCCTGGGATCGATGCTGCCCCAGCTGAGCTCTTTCCCTTTGTTCCCCTAAGATGTTGCCCCAGAGGGAGACGTGCTGGGGCCTGAACACAGAATCTACTTTCCTTGGGAAACCCATGGTTAGCGCCAGCCCACAGGGCATCGGACCTTGGTGCGAATGACATTCTTGTCAGAATCGATGTCCGTCAACGTGTCGTAGTCATCCTCTTCCACAGAGCTCATGGAGTCCAGGCGAGGCCGAGTGCCCACGGGGTCGAGGGAGCGATCTGGGGTGGGCAGGAGGGAACAGTTAGCCCACAGGCACAGAACCTAAGGTCTGTCCCCACCCACCTAGGGCAATTGTCACAATTACTGGGCAATGGGCAGAGGCAAACTGTGGGCTCAGAGCAGGGGTGGAGGTGGGCTCAGGCCCAGGGCAAAGGTATCACAGGTGCTCCTAAGTCCTCAAGAGAAACAAGAGTGGGTTCTGGGAAGAGGCCACCAAAGAGGGACCCCTCCAGCCCTGTCCCCCTCACTGACATAGGACTTCCAGGCCAGGACCCTGAGCAGACCTTGGGCCCCAGACATAAGCAACAGGACTGAATTTGGCAGAAGTCATGCTGATTAGATGCCCAGCTGTGTGGGTTCTGAGAGGACACGGCCTTGGCCCCCACTTGGTAGAGACCCAGTGGGCTCTGGGGTACAGCAAGTGTGACACCTGCTCCTGTTCTTTTCTGGTGCCTTCAGAAGCTTCCTCCTGTTCCCCAGAGGCCAGGACATGATACCCCTGCCCATAGGCCCTACCCCAGCAGGCCAGGGAGTGAGGGTGCTGGCAAACGTGGCAGCAAACCAGAACATCCGGCCTAGGGGTAGCTGGGGTGCCAGTCCACCAGCATCGAGGCCAGTGCCTGCTTCTCTCAAAAGACACAAGAGCGGGCAATTATTCGCTTTAGATGGGGAAGCCATGCACAAAGCGTCTCTCTGGCCCTGGAGCCTACCGGCCCCGGTCAACGGCCCTGGCAGGAGCAGATTGGCGGAGCAGCGCCCCCCCACCCCACATCTACCCATGGCAATGCACAGCTGCCGCATCTGGCCAAAGGGGAGGCGCCGCTTGAACTGGTCGTGCCCTTCAAAGGAAAGGGAAAGTTACCGGGACATGGGGCCAAGGAGGAGAGCATGAGAGGGGAGGGGGCAGGGAGCCAGCAGCCCCTCTCCTGGTGCCAGCGTCTGGCAGAAGAGGCGGGTGCCCGTCACCACGCTTCACCCAGCCTGCTCCAGCCCTGCAAGGCCCCGCCCGCCTCACTCACCCTGGTAGCTGTAGGACAGGTCTCCGGTGCCCGTGCTATCACCCAGGCCGTCTGTGGACCCGGAACTGTTCTCTGCAGAGGATGGGGCATGGGACATGGTGAGGTCTCGGTGGGAGAGGATGGGGAGGTGGGGGTCGAGAGGGGCCCCGCGGCCACTCTGCTGCCTTGGAGGTGGAAGCCCAGGCTATGAGTGGGCAAGGACAACCTCTGGTGTTGACACATACCGAAAGAGCCGTAGTTGTAGCCCTCATAAGGGGAGCTGCCAGGGAAGGAGTCGGCGAGCACCCGAGGGTGACCTGCAACGAGAAATCAAGGGCCCCTAAGCTCTGGCAGCAGAGTGGGGCCCACAGCCAAGAAGAGAGAAGGAAGACTCCGGAGAAGAGACACGGAGGGGCCACGCAGCAGCAAAGAATAAGCACCTATCCTGACAAATGCACCTCCCTCCCACTCCCACCGGCTGCCCCAACTTCCCACGAGTGGCCCCGTAGAAGCCTTTGCCATCCTTTGTCCTCACTCCAGAGACAGCGGTCAGCGAACTGATGTATCTAAATGACCAGCTAGGACAGCAAGCACTGGGCTACCCGGGTCCCGCCCAGACCCCCTGGTGCATCCCCTCCCTCACCCATTCTGGACCTCAGCTCCTCTGCCCACAGCCCCTGGAGCTTACCAAGGAGAGAAGCTGAGAGAGAAGGTCCCAAGCAGGAGGGAGGATAGACAGAGAGGGAAGGATGGAAGAAAAAGAGAAAGAATGAAAGGTTAATAACCCCCCCAGACTCTGAGCTGTATTGCCTGAGGCGGGCAGACAGTGTAGCTAGACCCAGAGAATGAATTGAGTGGCGGCCATTAAGATGGACATGTTAGGATCGCAGGGGGACAAGAGCCCAGCCCCGTTTCCATCTGTAGAGTGTTATTCCCCATCTGAATACCCAGAAGCCCCCAGCTGGACTTTCCTCCTCCAGCCCCCAAAGGAACCATCCAGAAAATCACAGAGCAAACTCTGCCCTCCCTGCCCAGGCCTCCGGAGGTACCGCTTTCTGGGCAGGCTCGGTCCATGGCCACCAGAAGCGTCTTCTTCCTCTGCCTGCAGGAACAGAATCCAGAGGCAAACCAGAGGGGCCAGGATGAGGATCCCTCCTACCCTGGGCTGGCCTGCCTTCCACCCTCTCCACCCATAACCCTGTCCTCTGTCTGCGACCTTAAGGTTCCTCCCAGGCTGGGAAGAAATGTGGGGTTTCCTTGCTTGGGTAGAAGGTTGAGGGCAGGGGCTGGTTTCCAGAGGAGAGGCCCATGGAGCACTGACCCTGAAAGGGACCTGCCTTCCTATGCCCCAAGATGGTGTGGAGCTGGGGGCCCTGGGCTGGCTCAGATCCTGCCAGGCCAGCTCCCCTGCTCGACCCACCCCAGAAAAGGATGATGCCCAGTGGCCCCGCTTTACCTCCAGTTCTCCCAACAGGCCAGGAGGATGGTCAGCAGATAGAAGGAGAGAAATATGCCCAGGCAAAAGAGCATACCACCAACATAGGCCTCCGCTGTTGTCGGGGGGCAGAGAGGAAGATGAGCACATCAGACCTTCCAAGGATGCTTGTCATGGCACACAAGGGCCGGGCAGGGTGAGCAATGGGTAGTTCCCCAAAATAGGCCAAACTCTGACGTGATTCCTGTCTCTGCTCCTGTTGCTCCCTCAGCTAGAATTTTCTCCTCTCCTTCTTTCTCACAATCTCCATCCTGTTTTCTTTTCTTTCTTTTTCTTTTTAAGGTTTTATTTATTTATTTGATAGAGAGAGAGCAAGAGATCACAAGTAGGCACAGAGATGGGGGGGCTCCATCCCAGGACCCTTGAGATCATAACCTGAGCCCACTGAGCCACCCAGGGGCCCCCTCCATCCTGTTTTTTAAACACAGCTTCCTTCCAAACACAGCTCAGGGGCTGCGTCCTCTAGGAAAGCTTCTCTGTCCTGTGGTCCCAGTGACTGTCCTTTGCCCTTCACAGCTTCAGCATACTGCCCAGAAGCGGGCCCCTGTTCTTCAAACAGGAACTCCCTGAGGACTCCAGCCAGTGCGTAACACCCGGCACAAAGACGGCGGTCGAGAAATATTTGCGGAATAAAGATTTCCTACAAGACAGGCAGCTTCTTTCCCCTCCCGTTACAATCCCTTATTTTTAGGTTCTATTTTCCAGTTTACAAAGGGCTCCATTCAATCACTCGGTAAATATTTATTGAGCATGACTAAGGGGCCTAACACTTTCCGGCTAATTTTGTGCTAAACCTCACAATTTGGTGAGACTACTGGGACAGAGCCTATTACCATCAAGACAGAGAGACAGGGAAACAGGTTCAGTGAGACTGCACGGCTCACAAGGGGTGAAGAGAGAACTGGAACTCAGTACTTCAATTATTAGTGTCTGACTCTGTACCACACCACCCTGGGACCCACCTCCGCACCCCCCCATCGTGAAAGCTCCCAAGAACACTCCCCCTTCCAGGCCCACCATCTGCGTGTAGGCCGCCCCCCTCCCCTCCGACCAGTCTGAGAAGAAGAGCCTCCCTCTTCCTCACTCAGCCACCCACACTCACATGTGACTGCTCGAGATACCACCACTGACAGGGTTTTCTGGCGGTGCCCTTGATCAACCGGTTCATCTGGAAGCAGAACGTCAAATAAGAAGCTGCCTGGAGCTTGGCTAAAGTTTGTGGGACCAGGCCTGGGAGAGTCCAGGGCCAAAACCTCACATCCCAGCAGACCCACCCATCAGCCACGCAAGTTCTTCTACCTCCTGGGGAGCGACCGAGCCCTCCCCACCCCAGGAGGCCCAGGGCACACCGTGTACCTTCTACAAAGGGGTAGAAAGGCAAGGAGCCCCCGCAGGCCTGGTCTTCGGTCTTCACCACCACCACCACGTAAAAGCTATTGCTGGGGAAGTCTTTGCGCTGCAGGATGACGACGGGGATGACAAAACCATCGTTGTCATCAACCACCATCAAAATCAATCCACAAAATGCGCACTTGATTTTATTTAGCCCGCACTAGGGTCCCTACGAGATAAGCACTAACGCTGCCCTTAATTAGGCTTTAGGGTTATGCGGCCAGTAAGTGGTACAGCAGGGTTGTCTGCTCCAGAGCCCAAACCGCGACCGCGTGCCACCCAGGTGAGCACATGTGTGCACGACCCACCAGCAGGGGACCCATGCGCGCGCCGTACGGCCTGAGCATAAGCCAGGAGAAAAAGTGGGGGGCCCTGCTGCTCCCTCAGTTGCAAGATTGGATGTTGTCAGGTGAGTGTATGGCTTCACCCGCCCGCCCCCAGCACAGGTTTCGGCCTTTTCAAGGGCAGCACTCAGCGGCAGCCAGGAACCTTTTCTCAATCTCTCTCTCTCTCTCTCTTTTTTTTTTTTAGCTCTTACTTAACTTATTTGACAGAGAGAGAGTGAGCTCAAGCAGGGCGAGCAGCAGGCAGAGGGAGAGAGAAGGAGGCTCCCCGACGAGCAGACAGCCCGATGCGGGACTTGATCCCAGGATCCCGGGATCATGACCTGAGCTGAAGGCAGACGCTGAACCACTAAGCTGACTGAACCACCCAGGCGCCCCCCTTTTCCCCCTCCTAGCTCTCGTTACAGTGAATGAAATAGATACGACAGCCAGAAAGGGTTCTCTGCTCTTTCCTACCCCGCAAGGTGATTGGGATGATGATGCAACCCTCACATTAAGTGCAGAGCCCCAAATCTCAGGGACTGGCAGGCCAAGACTCAGTCTTATCAGTAGGGTAAAAATGGGGGCAGGGGTGAAGGCAAGGGTTTGGAAAGCTCATCCCCTGGCTACATCTCCTACAGGGTCATGCGCATTTCCTACCTGCACAGTGATGGCAGCCTTCTTGGTCATAGTCTGGTACATGCCGATGAAGGCTACGTTGTTGTCTAGGTCATAGACAGGGCACTACAGAAGGAGGAGGGGAGAGGCAAGTGGGCAGGAACCCAGGCCCTGGGCCCCCTCTTTAGCAGTCCTGCTCCCCGCTGGTGGAGAGCAAAAAAGGGCAGACAACCTACCAGGACATCCTGGATGGAGATGACTGAGCAGGGGAAGGCCTTGTTGGAGGTCACCTTGACAATCACTGAGTCCACTCCCTCCGGGAACTCATACTTGAAGTACTGAGGGCACAGGAGGGCAAGGAGAGCCCCATCTCATAAGGATGCTCTCTCTGTCCCTCTAGAAGGGAAGCTCTCGGGGGAGAAGGACACTGACCCCAAGCAGCCCAATTATAACACTCCCCTCAACCTCAGCTGGGCACTCACGATGGTGTCCCAAGAGGCAAGGAGGAAAGGTGGCAGCCAGACCCCATGCCTCTGCACATCTACGTGGCCTGTCCCTGACCACCTCAGGGCCAGAGCTCCTATTTCCAGACAGTCCCTCCATGGCCAGGGTGCAGTCAACCTGGGACTCTGCTGACCACTCCCGCTCCCATGTCCCCGCTTCTCCGGAGGGCCAGCTGCCAGACAGATCTTACCTGGGGCTGGGCTGCCGTGGTATTGAAGCTAAACTGCTCCCCAGTCCTGGAGGGAGAAGAGCCCCCCCGATCACGGTCACTTGCAGAGCCTGGCAAAGAGGCTAGGCCCGTGGTCCCCTGGAATGGCCCTTGCAGACCTGAGCACAAAGTCGTCCATCCGGCTGACCCGGAGCTGGTAGGTGGTGTTGACCGGTGACAGGGTGGACACGTCCACATAGAAGAACTGGACCTCGGACTCATTCTTGGTGGGGGGCTGGCACAGAGTCCGCTCCACCTTCTGGTACAGGTACTTGCGCTGATACCTACAGCCCAAAGCAGAAAGCAGGACATTACTACTGTCCCAGCCAGCAGGCCACACCACAGAAGCAAGGCCCCGACTCCCCATCTCTGGTTTCCAACGTCTACCTACTCCTCCCCCAGCTAGGCTGACAAGCTCTAGGCTGGCTGGCCTGGCCACTGAGCAGCCCTCTGGTTCAGGGAATGGGGACGAGAAACAGAGGGGCTCCTGGGTGGCCTGAGGCCCTGGATCAGGCCCTAGGTGAGGCTCTCCCCATCCCTGATCCCCAGGTCCTACTCACAGCCCTCGCAGGATTAGGGGCACCTGGAAGGACACCACAGCCTCCTTCTGACGGACCACGAACAGCAAAGGAGCCCCCTTCTGCTTGTTTAGGACATTCACGGACACACGCACGCCTTCTGTCTGCAGAATGACATGGAGATGCCCCTCAGTCAAGCCTGCGGTGACTCCACCTCTGTTCCTTGGGACACACGGCTCCAGAGACCATGAGCCCGTCATGCCGACCACTTTGTTCTCCACCCCCAAACACCCCAGTCAGGCTGGTCAGCTAACTATGCCCCTTCTGCTAGAGCAGCCCCAGTCTCCAGGAGGGATCTGCTCTGAGTTAGAGGAGAGGCTCTTGGAAGAGGGCCCGTCCTGGCTGGCAGACATGTGCAGGACAATGGGACCCACACAACCACAGGGCCTCACTTCCCAACAGGAAACACAACGGAGACTTTGGCCAAACCCAGGATACCCCATACCTATCCAAGTTCACAGGATATACTCGCACAGGGACACGGGGACACAGGAGAGCAAGAAGTGTTCCTCAATTTTCTTCCTTGTGAGCCAGGAAGTCCCCATTCAACAACTAATCTGGGGGCCAGAGCCAGTGGGGAGGTGGGGAACGAGACTGTTGAAAGCTAAGAAAGCCAAGTTCTACCCTTAGCTCTGACCAAGGGCCAGGGCTGTGGAGAAGTCGCTTCACACCTCTGAGCCCCGATTTCCCCCTCTGTAAAATGCAGACACTCTCACTCTTGGTGCATGGAGGAACGTACAGTGAGAGCTTAAGAAAATCAGTCAATGGATCCTGGCAATGCTTGTTATTGGGCTGCTGAGACCCGAGCCCGAGGGCAATGTTTCCCAGAGGGGTAGAAAGTAACTCTCAGGATGACCCCAGTTATGGGGGAGAAGGAAGAAAGGACTCCAAGCAGGAGGACATCAAACTTCAGAGAAACAGGCACTAAAGGCAGCTGCTGGTCTGCCACAGAAGGCAGATCCTGCCCCATTCTGAAAAATAATCACACTGCCACTCTCAGCTCTACCACTTCTTAGTAAATGCAATCATGGAGAGAGCCAGGCAGGAGACCACAGAGCCAGGCTCCAACAGTTCTCCAAATCTCAGCTCTGCCCGGGGTCTAGACTTCCTAGATCTAGCTACAATAATGCTTAACACGTGGCTGGGGAAAAAATGAAAGAGAAAGTCAGGGTGAGGTAGATTCCCCATTGGAGACAAACTTTCTCTCTCCTCCCATCCCACTTGGAGTTGGTCTTATCTCCACCACCTCTGACTGAACAAGGCCAGTGGGCTTTCTAAGGCAGAGAGTGGGAAGTCCTGCACTCATCTCCCTGGGGAGTCTCAGCTATAACTTGGCCACGCAGAGCCTTTCAGTCAGTCTGTCTCACCTCCTTGGGGTTTTGTGGGCCAAGCCCAGTAGCTAGCCTGCTTCCGCCTGCACCCAGACGTGTGGGGCTGTCAGCTTTGGGGTGCTGGACCAGCCCTGCTCAGAGCACAGCTGGTCGAAAGGAGGGGCTCAAAGAGAAGATGGGAAGGAGACAACTTTAGAAACTGTCCAGTGGGAGCCTCAGAGAAACGCTGGTGGCAAAGCAAGGAGGACTGGTCAAAGAGTCCACTGCGGTTCTGGGAAAACGAAACCCAGTGGGGTGCCGCGTTCATGGCCCCCTAAAAGAGCAGAGGATTGACTGACTGGCAGAGCGCTGGTCTGCTCACCCACTCACCACCAGCCCCCAGCCCGGCCCAGGCCAGCCCTCACCCGGTTTCGGGTCACAGTGTGGTTGAAGGTGTAGATGTTGACCAGCTCGCTGTTGACCTCATCCACGTAGGTGCGCTCAAACTCGGCGTCTTTCTGCGAGACGTTCTTGGGCCCCAGAACCCCCAGATGGCTCTCGACCGAGGCCACCAAGAGCGCCAAGAAGGGCAAGCCCAGAGCGAACATGGCCCCGGCAAGGCGGCAGTGGCGGCGGCGACAGCGGCGGTGGCGGGGACGGCGACAGGCGACAGGACTCCTCCGGGACGGGTTGCGGCTCTGGCCGCAGCTTCCAGCATCTCACCAGGACCAGAACTTTAACCCCGGCCTGAGATTAGGAAACGTCCCCTCCCCGGAGCCCGGTACGCTCCCAGGGGGCCCGGCGGGGAGGGGCAGCAGGAGAGGGAGGGGAGGGTGTGGGGTACGGACCAGCTCGCGAGGGGCTGAGCGCGGCCCCGAGACCCCGCGGCCTCCGGCCGGGGCCGTGAGAGCCCGGGGGCGGCTGGTTGCTGGGAGCTAGGAGACGCCGGGGAAAGGGGAGGGAGGGAGGCAGGGAGGGAAGCCGGCGGCGGGGGCGGCCGGGAAGGGAGGAGGGTCTGAGGGTGAGGAGCGTGAAAGGTGGCAGCGACCCGACGCCGCGCGGCGCGGCACCGCGCGTTTTCCGGGGCGCGGGCCCTTTAAGGGCGGGCGGCCGCGGCGGCCCCCAAGCTCGCAACTCCCGGGAATGTGCGGTGCCGCGAGGCGGTAAACAGCAGGGCTGCCGGCCCGCCCGCTGACGTCAGGAGAAACTGACACAGATTTAAAGGGCCAAGTCCCGGATTGGGCCTTAAAGGGGCCGCAACCCTCCAGCTGGAAGCCACCTTGAACTCCTGTCTGGCTACTACCTCCTCTTTCATAATCCTACCTGTCTCTGGAAGCTCGCTTTGGTAGGAATAGATGGATGTCTCCGTGAAGGATCTCCAAGTACTGGATTCTTGTTGACAAAGACTTCTTTGCTCAACGTAAGGATCCACCTCCATCCTCATCGCGTTTACCACCTACATCCTCCATCCTTGGGCCATTAAGAAAGGAAGAGCTCATTTAGGAGGACTGGACTGGCGCCTTCCCCAGGAGGGACAGCTGAAGCAAAACTACAGAAGGAACCTCTGTGGACTCTCACCTTTTCCTGCAGCGGCCTCAAGGCTTCAGGGAGGCCTGGAAGCCTGCAGGGCTTTCCCCTCTTCTCTGCAGAGGCAGCTAAAAGGCTCACTGAAAGACAGTGGCTTTCAGTATAAATCGATAAAAACTTCTCTACAAAATATTTTGGCCTGTGTTTCAAGAAGTTTAAAGAGCTTTATACTCTTTGACAGAGTAATTTCACTTTTGGGGCTCTATCCTGAGGAAATATGAAATACAGATTAAAAATGTATAGACATGGGCTCCTGGGTGGCTCAGTGGTTAAAGCTTCTGCCTTTGGCTCAGGTCATGATCTCAGGGTCCTGGGATGGAGTCCCGCATCGGTCTCTCTGCTCAGCAGGGAGTCTGCTTCCCTCTCCCCCTCTCTCTGCCTACTTGTGATCTTTTTCTGTCAAATAAACAAATAAAAATCTTTTAAAAAAATGTATAGGCAGTAATGCTTATGATTGTGATATTTGTAACATAAAGCATAAAGGAAACAACCTAAATGTCCATAATGAGGAAATGGTTAAAAGTGCTATTATGAAGCCATCCAAAATGAAGCTTAAGACTTTAAGGAACATGTCAACAGAGAACACTCACAATATGATACTATATCAAGAGTATGGTTTCCAAATATGTAGGCATGCATAGAAAAGAATCGAGAAATCTTTGAATTACAGATGACTCTTAAAATGACATGTATCATTTCATCTAATTCCAAAAGTATAGAAAAGTAGCAAAAAGAAAAAAAATCACTGGACTATGGATGGTTTCAAAATGTTTTTAGATCTTTTAAAAGTGTATACATTTTGGGGTGCCTGGGTGGCTCAGTCTTTAAGCATCTGCCTTCAACTCAGGTCATGATCACAGGGTCCTGGGATCAAATCCCACATCAGGCTCCCTGCTCAGCAGGGAGTCTGCTTCTCCTTCTCCCACTCCCCCTGCTTGTATTCCCTCTTGAGCTGTGTCTCTGTCAAATAAATAAAATCTTAAAAATAAATAAATAAAAATTTATATTTTCTAGGATACACATGGATTTCCAAGATAAATAAGATTTGTTTAAAGGAAAAGAAATGTAACATGGCCACCTCTGACATCGGCGGACACCCGGATGAAGCCACCTGGGCCAGAGACTTGTGAGAATTCTCTTCTTTCCAAGATTCCAGCAGCCGCAGCTCCTGCCCCTGCCTTATTCTCTGGGCTTTGTTCCAACAAGGACTATTTTATCTCATAGCCAATTATAAATATTTATTCATTCCTGCAATAAATATTTAATGGGCACCTACTATGTGCAGGTACTGTTCTATTTATACTAGGCAAATGGTATGTGCAAGGATTAGACCTGGCCCCCTGCCCAAGCATTCATGCTTGAGGATGAAGATCAAAAGCAGACTGCAGGATCTGAAGAACCCTGGAAAGTCAGACCAAAGGGAAGCTTAGCAGACTCCTGGACCAAGCCCTCGTTTTACAGACAGTAGAGTAGGTAATTTATTAGACTCCAGCACATTTGGACAAATCCGAATTGGAGGACCCTCAGGATAACAGGAAGAGTTTTCATTATAAGCCCATGCAGTTCCCAGAAGTTTTTATCGATTTATACTGAAAGTCACTATCTACAGTGGATGTAGGATTTCCACATTCCAAGTGAATTCCATTTTCTCTCTCATGGTGACCTCCTCCTCATCTTGCCAGTAAATCTGGAATTCTAAGAAATACTCCCATTCTGAGTTTGAGCTCCCCGCTTAGCTTGATGTAATTTAACTGGTTTCTGGAACTTTCCTGGGTACTGTGAGAACCTCTGTTCTCAGCTATAGGCTGGTTGGTCCAGGTGCTATATTGAATAAGCCCAGGCTGGGGGCACTCCAACTCTGCCTCTTGGGCTTTGGGGCAAAGCGTGCCCTCCCACCCTGCCCAGCCTGTTGAAAATGCATAACCAGACATGACTTCCAGTTCTTGAGTTGCGGTCTCTAGAAGTGCAGCCCAGGAATCTGGGTTTTACAAGCACTCCAGAAGCTTGATATGCACAATAGATTTTGAGAACCACTGCTCTGGGGCCAGACAACTGGGATGGGGATTGCTGATGCTTGTTTGCTCCCTTTCTTCTAGAAGTATCTTAGGAGAAATCTGTCTAAATAAACCCAGAAGGGATCCTTCCCTTTTACAAGGGCTCATGGGCTTAACCTTTGAATCCTCATCAACGTCTGTCTTGGAACAGGGCTGGAGGGCAACAGCCCCAGACTTTCTTGCGGTTCTCAGGTCTGCGGAACTTTCCTCAGCCCTTCTGCCCCACCCCCCTAGGGAGGGAACAGCACAACCCAGTTATGAATAGGTCCTTTCTCAGGTCTGGTAGTGCTGAGAGAAGGCCTTTTTGTTGGCTATAGCAGTTAGCATAAAAGAAGAGCAGTGCTGGGTCTCAAAACCAGACTTATGAGAGCAAAAGAGATATCAAGGCCTCAGAGCAGCCCCCTGGACCTTCTGTGCTGGTCCCGCTACTGCATTATCTGCCACCTTATACAAAAAAAAAAAAACAAAAAACCTGACTCCAGCCCTGGCAATGAGGGCAGGGTGGGGTCACAAGGCTCAGATGACTTCCTTCTACGTCCCTGTGCGCCATCCTTCCGATCCTGAGTGCAGAAAGGACCTAAGAAATGGAACCATTAACCAGGGAGCTGACAAGATTCCCAGTTTTCCATAGAGGGTAGAGTGGCTGTGCCTACGGGTGGGTGGCAGGATCAAACCCAACATTAGAATTAAGTAACTTTTACCCAGAAAAAGAAAGTTACACAAGCAAGCCCTCTAAAGGAAGTGGACTTGAAGTTCCCTGTTTTCATCATGACCATAAAAGGGTCTCAGTGTATCCAGGGGGAGCTCAAACAGAATGGCCCAGAAGCCTCAGCAGCAAAAGCACTGTATAGCCCTTCTTTCTCTCCATCGTGCAAGTGCTGTTCTTTCTCAGGGCTGCCGTGGGGTCTGGTCCTCTCTCTAAGGCCTATGAAAACGGGATGCACATCAGATTAGGGCTCAGAGTATTTACTCCGTCATTCTGGGGCTCAGGTCTCAAACCTGTCACATGCTTCATGGTACTATGGAAAAAGCAAGGACTTTGATGTCAGAAAGTTCTGTGTAAGTCCTTGCACTGTGCGTCATGGTGAAATTAAACTTTCTGAGCCTTCCAGAGTCATGGCTTTTGCCCCTTTACCTCCTAAATGCAGCACAGGGGAGCTGGGCTTGGCCGCATGCACTATCCTGAACTATTGTCTCAAGAGTAGGAGGGGAGTCAAGGGAGAGCAGTTTTGACTGAGGGGGCAAACTTTCTGCCACAGACAGATCAGCCACTTTCCCTTTCCTGGGCTTTCACCGTTCAGACTGAGAAACATGAACAGTACATCAGGCCTTGCATCCTTGTTCCCTGTGGCCCTGTGCTGGAATCAACGTCAGAGCTTTGCAGGAAATGAAGCTGGTCAATTAGGCTGCGGAGAACAAGGAGATAAAAAAGTGGATCAACTCAAATCTGTCTCCAAAGACCACTGATTAAGAATAAGCCATCTTCCTATCTCAAGAAAGCTTGGGTGTCCAGCTACGAAATCAGAAGACGCAACTCAAGAAGCTTTTCGTCCTCTCTGGCTGTTATCTACAGATAACAGAGGCAGCTTCTCAGCCCTTACTCCATGTTGCTCTCAATAATAGAAAGGGTTCACTCTCTTTACACTCTGGCTCACATACAGGCCACCTCCCGTAGCTTCTCCTGTTACCTCCCTGGTCCTCCGAGCCTTCACAATGGTGATTCTCTCATCCACGACACCTTTGTTCCTCTGAACCAGTCTTTTTCTTCAGTTTCACTTTTCCTATAAAAACTATCTTATTTGGGGTGCCTGGGTGACTCAGTCGTTAAGCATCTGCCCTCAGCTCAGGTCGTGGTCCCAAGGTCTTGGAATCAAGCCTGGTATCGGGCTCCTTGCTCAGTGGGGGGCCTGCTTCTCCCTCTCCCCCTTCCCCTGCTTGTGTTCCCTCTCTCGCTGTCTCTCTCTGACAAATAAATAAAATCTTTGAAAACAAAAAACAAAACAATAAATTATCTTATTAATTCCATCTAGTTTCAATCAAATAATTCCAGAAAATGTGTCGAAAACTTTTGTGATGGGTATGTATGGCATCTAGTTTTTAAGTGACTTTTCTTGATCCTTATTAATAACCTGCTTTGTTCCTCACAAGCAGCAGCGTAGTATCATTGAAAGAACAGGAAGTGCAGTTGAAAGATTTGTATTCTGATTTCAGTGCTGACGGTTGGCTAGATGACCACGAACAAATCACTCAACCTCCTGTTCATTCATTCTTTCGTTTATTCAATGCCTAGTGTGTACTAGTCACTAAGCTGGGTGCTGGGAACACAGATACTTACAACACATTCTCTGTTCTTAAGAATTCATAATCTAACAGTGTGGACAAATGGGTAAGCATATAATACAGAGTAAGTGCAATGATAAAAGAGTTACACAAGGTATTATGGGAACTCAGAGATGAGAGATCTAGTACAAACCAGAGCTGGAAATGAGGGAAATCAGGAGA